TGTCCATTTAAACACCTTTTTCAGCCTTTTTGTAACAGAGCAGAGGTGGGTGGTGACCTGAAAGAACTGAACAGTACAGGAGGAAAACCAACCGATAGTGTCATTGTATTTTATATTAGTGCCTAATTATCTCCACTTTTTGTTTTCAGTGTGAAAAAGACACACTGTGGGCTGTGGAGGGGAGTTACGTATGAACATTGTGTGGCAGCTTCCAGCACATGGGCAGCTTTGGTCACTGGTGAACTGGCCCTCCCACATGGAGCAGTACCACTGTGTATTTGAGTCTGAAGCCCCACGGCACAATAATAATGTTCCACGTTAAATAATTCATTGTCACGCTCCCTGCTGGCATGTTATATTTGTTAATAATGTTTATGGAGATTGCACTCTCTATGCTAAACATTGACACACCATAATCACTACTGCAAATACTGAAGAAGAGGAAAACGATAAGCAACATATTTCTGACTTTAGTCCTTTCAGAATAAAAATATCCTGACAGTTCTGACTCAGACTGAAGGCAGCTGCTGCGTAACAGATGATTTAACTCTAACTGTGACTGAGGGGTTTTAATCGGCCTTCAGTAATGGAATATTTCCTCAAAAACAACTATTTTATAATTTTATTTACTGAAATAAATTATTATTTTTGATAGCAAGGATGTTCACTTAAAGGGAGAAGTAATAGTTAGCATCAGTGCAACAGTATCCTAACGTGAAGTCTCAATCTCCAAAAAAGGTTAATGCTTTATTTCCTGTTGGCATCTGTAATCTGATCTAATGACAAGACATTATTCAACTGATTTCACAGGCTGAGTATTTCTACAGTGAGTTGACCCATCTTGTAAAGGTACTCCAAGCTCAGTGTACGGGGTGGGGCTCACACAGATTTCCCCGCTTGGCGTGGGATGTCTACAGATGCTGTCTGTATGCGCTGTGGAATACTGTGCTCCTCTCTGAACTGCAGACTCAGTTTACACAGTATGAGTAGTGTGGAGTAGCAGCTCTGAGCTAGTGGGTGAAGCTGCTCGAGCCCACACAAACCCTCCCACTCACCGCAGAGGATGGCACGCACCAGCAGCCGGAGGGACACCACACAAGAATGAACGCTGACGTAACGCACTAGCAGTGGAAAGGATCGGAAAGTGGTCTGTCTGCTTACAATTCCACTTCTCCTTCTTTGTGTTTGTGTGTGTTGATGTAAAAACAGTGCAGGATTGTGTGAAGATATTTGCTTCTTTTTCTTCTCACCTCTCCATTTGTACCCAGATAGTGGCAATTAAGTTAGCAGCTGCAGATATGGTGTGTATACGGCAGATATAGAGTACCATATGCACTACAGTATACTGTCTTCCATCCTCCTTAGTTCTAGAAGGAAGTCTGGCCACTCAGCAACCATCGGGAAACGCCGGGCACTTCTTTGGGCAGTTATTGCTAAGCATGATCTAAAATATACTTTTATATTTTAATGGACAGCTGCACAAACAACCAGTAAATAGTAGAGCATTGAGATAAATCTGATTATTGTTTCATAAATCCAGGCTCATCAATACATTTTACTTTCAAATATCAAACCTAGCTTTGTACTGTTACCTCATCAAAATGTATTTTTCGGTAGATTGTTGGTTTGGGCTGACCTTCAGTGAGTGATGTTTTTATGACCTACTCTCACTCACATTTACACCTCGGTGTTGCCTAGAGGTTCCCGTAACTGCCCTGCTTATCTCGGTGTCTGGACCGGAAGCTGTCTTATCTCATCACTGGGCTCCAGTTTCCAGTCATGATGCAGCTCTGTATGTCTGCAGATTTTATGATAACTCGAGTGAGTGAGACAGGATGTTGTCCTCTGTGGATGATGAGTCACTGCTCAAGGATACTTTAGCATCCTGGTGAAAATTCGAGGCAGTCTGAAAAGTACCACCCACCAAGAACCAAATGGTGGAAAATTGAACCTTTTCTTCAGAAAAATAGGTCAGACAACTCAAAAAAATATTTTTAAAAAATGTCCGTCCTTTCAGTTTCTGTTGCACAGTAAAATCAAATCTAAAATAAAGTTTTGCACATTTTCACATCTTTACGATTAACCCTTTTTACTTATTCTTTAAATTCAAACTGGACATGAACCTTACAGGCTATGGTTGTCTCATATTTTGCCCTCCAACAGGTGCGGTTTTCACCCATGTTTGTGGTCCTCGGAGGAACCTGAAAGGACTTTAGATATAATCTGAGAATAGACGCATTTTGATGTCAACTTTTGGTTTTGGACTGTGCATTTCGAAGCTTCAACATTAGCAATTTAGCCACTGCATGTTAATTTTTTATGCAGGATTTACCATATATTGTTCATCAAAGTTATCTGCTAATGTTAGCAAGCTGCATCCAACACACATATGCACATATCAGCTAATTCGTGACCAGTGTTGGTCAAGTTACTTGAAAAAAGTAATCAGTAACTAATTACTGATTACTTTCCCAAAAAAGTAATCCTGTTACTTTACTGATTACTTATTTTCAAAAGTAATTAATTACTTAGTTACTTAGTTACTTTTTAAAAACACGATTTACAACCTGAAGAGGTGATAAAGCGATAGATCTTTCAGCCCAATTCTACTTTTTCTACATAATCCATCATACAAAATGTAATCAAATGGAAAAGTCTCTTTTTTTAAACTTGTTTTATTAGTTTTAATCTTTTAACTTTATGCATCAAGCAAAAATGTAATTATATGCAACATTCTCTGACTTGAATAAATTAGTTTAACATTTAAACCTATTTTCTACACATTCCAGCACATAAAATAAAATATTTTTTGTGTTTACACTCAGTCTTTCAAATAGATGCAAGTAAAACGCAGCAGAAAATAAATAAAGTCAAAGACTAGCGGTCCTGTTGCTCTATTTTCACCTGTAAAGCAGGACTGTGGTAGGCGGAGGTTTACCCTGGTGCAGGTGTGCCGCGGTCAGTTGAAGAATCCGCGAGTTTCTCTGTGAGTTTCCCATTACGTCATAGCGCACTCGGTGCTTGCTTGGAAGTTTAGGGGTTTTTTTCGCTGTAAAAAGAAGTTTTCTTCCCACGCACGATGGACGCTGCCCATCTCTGTTCGTGACTAAAGCAAGAGCTTTGTGGATGGTCTGTGTCACACAGCAAGCCATAGTTTTAGTCAGATAAAGCGTAATCTTTAATGTAACTAAAAGGATACAAATGAATAAGTTATAAAAGTATTCACCCCCTGTATATTTGTTATTACGTTGTTATAAAGAGGGAGATTATCCATAGCGGTCAGAGGAGTTTTTGTAGCAGGCTTCAGTCCGTAACTTTTGACCAAGGAACTGAGATGCAAAGAAAAGCACAGTCATCCACAGTAATCCACACATTACCAAGTATTATTTATTTTATTTTTTTGATAAAGACAAGTTGGCAAGCTACGAGTGCCAGTTTGTTGTTTTTCAAAGTTAAGCTGGAATTTTAATTCCAGTGTATATCAAATAATTTAAAGTCCGTGTTCCTAAAATGGACTTTGGAAGTTTGGCCCACAGTTAATTCCTTAGATTTTTAATGCTTTTCTATGTTTGTTTATAGGAAATCCTTTGTTCTTTGTTCATATTGGGGGATGTTTTTAGGTCCCTTTCTTTCTAATAAACACACAAACCAGCACCTCATGTTCACCTGCCCCCAGACTTTTTTCATTTCGCCTCCTCAGTGAAATCCCTCCCCCATCTAATTGATATTCATACAGAGTGTGTGTGTGTGTGTGTGTGTGTGTGTGTGTGTGTGTGTGTGTGTAATGGTTCTGAATGGGATGAGGTACAAAAGGGGCAGAAATATGAAAAGGCGAGAGAGATGGGGGAAGGGACGTGTGGGGTAATTTATGAGGTATTTTAGTAGGAGGAGGTTTTACACACACACACACACACACACACACACACACACACACACACACACACACACACACACACACACACACACACACACACACACAACATTTCCACAGAATCAATATTCAAACACAGGAAGACTTGTAAATGCGATGAAGCACATTTATAAATTTATACCTGCTTCATTTTTTATATGTTTTGTATTTTATATATTATTTTTTACACGTTATTACGTCACATCTCCATGTAATGATTATGATTATTATTTTTTCTTGTTTACTAGTATTTTCTCAATTTATTGTGCAGTCTCTAAATGTCTGTCCAAAGCTTCCAAAAATGACTTATAAAACCCAGAAACAGCTAGAAATGTATGAAATTAAGAGTTAAGACGCTAAAGAGTGTGATATTTCTATTAAAAATATTTAAAATTGTTACTGTTTAATTTTCTGGTGGTTGAATACTAAATTGGTATACTAATGACTTTTTCATTTTCAATGCTTTAGGTTCATAGTTTCGTTTATTTATGTACAACGTCATTGATATCCTACACTGCACAGATTTTCAACCACGCTTTTATTGTGAAAAGTGGATTAGAGATCAATAATTATTTTTATTACAAATAGAGAAATCGACCCCACTTTCATAAAGCTATTTTAATGTCCGCTTGACATAAACTTTTAGATTTAGATTTATGAGTGCAATCTCCATAAACATTTTAGATTTTTGCTTAAATAAAATTTGCATAGCGGTGCAAACCAAGTGATCTGCATGAAAACGATATATTCTCAGAGATTTTACGTTTATGTTGGTACTCCCCAGGTGCTAATTAGAGATGTCGATTCACTGATTGATGTGTTAATTAAACTACATAATGGCCTTATTATCATAATAGGTTGTGTGTTTTTAATGCCTTTGTGATTATGAAGTGTCATTTTGTAGCTTAATTGCCTTTTGTTTTCAGTAGTAAATGTTCTATTTGCACATTTGCCTCTGATCTACGTGTACTCTGGGCTAATTATACATTTTCGGTATGTTAATGAATAATCCTTTCGCATTAAGACATAAAAGGTCTTAATTTTCTCCCCCGTCTCCCTCTGTGTTCCCCCTCATTTCCTGTCCATCCAGGAGGGCCAGCAACTGATCCAGGAGAAGCCGGAGCTCAGCCCGGTGGTGCGGAAGAAGCTGGAGGAGATCAGGGAGTGCTGGCAGGATCTGGAGAGCACCACTCAGGCAAAAGCCCGCCAGCTTTTTGAAGCCAACAAGGCCGACCTGCTGGTGCAGAGTTACGAAAGCCTCGACCAGAGACTGGGCCAGCTCGAGGGTCAACTGGCCTACGTCGACCAGGGACAGGACCTCACCACCGTCAACAAGCAGCTCAAAAAACTGCATGTACGTAACATTCAAGTGGTTTTTGGCACATTGCTGCAGCCATTTCACCCACAGATGCGTTCCTCTAACCTCTGAAGTGGCTTAAGTTATGATTTCTTTGTACAAAGATGCTTTTTCTGTTTCATCTGTCAGGTAGTGAGTTCTTGGTTTCCAGAGTTTAGACTTTTATTGAATTTTAACCTGATAATAATAAATATTTAACTGTAAATGAACTGAAAATCAAATTAACTGAGGTTTATCCTTATATAACTGTATTCTTGGGTGGATTTTTTGGGGAGTTTTGGGGTTTTTTCTTAGTTTTTCCGTAGTTTTAGCCCAGTTTTGCCCTAAACTGTTAACGTAATTCTGCATCTTTGCTTCCTTGCATGTTGAACCATCTCAGAGTGAATCACTGTTTACGTTATTGTCGCTACACAGAGATGGCCTCAGCTCATTAATATTCAAACAAAACCTCATGTTTGAAAATGACTAACAGCAACATTTCTCGCTGCGCCTGCACAGCTTTCTGTTTGCTTTCCATCTCATTTTAGCAAAGTCAGCTTCTCATAAGTTCGCGCCAGCATTAATCTTTAATTTGCGCTGATGGTTTTTGGACACAACGTAAGCCGTCAGTGTTCGTGCAAACCAGGTGAGCTTTAACACAAGTCTCATCCCAAGATCATTTTACAAATACAGACGGTGACAAGTTTTTAATATTTTCACATATAGTTGCCAGTATCATGCTGATTGTTCTGCCTGGTTAAAGGCTGATTGTTTGTGACTTATTGGACTCAATCTGTGTTTGTCGCGTATTTGGTTATTTTGTTATAATTTATTTATGGCACACACTAGCATTAAGGTCATAATTAATCTTCATTTATCTTAATTTTAAACACTAGACATCTGGTTCATGTATAATTCTATCAGAGTGAGAGATAAGCCCTCTGTAGTGGGAAAACTGATGTTTTATTGAGTAAAAATAGTAATCTGTGCTTATTCATAAACATGGCATCTGTGAGTGGATGCAGCTAGTGCTTATTTATTTGTAAGCACAATATACTCTAACTTTAGTAAGTTTCAATGTTCAGTTGACCCCTGTTACGTTTATTAGTACTAGTATCACTGTAGCTGTTTACTCCAGGTATTTTTAAATATTTGAAGAACGGTGTAGCACATCTTTTTCATAAGGCAAGTCAGAAAGGCAAACAGATCCAGTGTTGCAGCAGACGTCCACACACGGTTTGCCATGAAGAAAGTGAAATTACTCTGGTCATGTGTTGCTGTGTGAGAAGTGAGTTGCAGGACAGAGAAACTAGCCTCAAAGCATCAGCTTTTAATGCTGTTGATGCAAAAGCTAAAGTCCAGAAGAATCCAAAATAAAGAGCAGGCTTTAAATGTCCAGAAAACATTAGAATTTCAGGAATATTAGAAGTTCAGGAACATGGAACAAGGGTACAGATCTCTTAATCGGAGCTGACTCTGGTCTTCTCACCATTCTCGTCCTTTTAGATCTGAGCTCAGCCTTTGACACCATTTCTCACTCTGTCCTTCTAAGCAGACTTTCCTCTCTCGGCATCTCTGACACACCCCTCGCCTGGTTTCAATCATATCTCCTCGACCGTTCCCAGTTTATTCAACTAAGATCATTCCGCTCTCGTCTATTCCCCGTCACCTCTGGTGTACCCCAAGGCTCAGTTTTAGGCCCTCTTCTCTTTATAATATACATCCTCCCTCTAGGTACCATCTTCCGCAAATTAGATCTTCAGTTTCACTGTTTTGCTGATGACACCCAGTTATATCTCTCTTGCAAACCTGATTCCTCCCTCCCACCTTCTTCCCTTACAGAATGTCTATCCGAGTTAAAATCCTGGTTTACCTCTAATTTTCTAAAGCTCAATGAGGATAAAACTGAGATCCTCCTTATTGGTACCAAATCCAACCTTTTGAAGGCAAACCATTTCTCACTCACCATCGATAACTCCACAGTTCTACCTTCTCCTCAGGTTAAGAGCCTTGGTGTCATCCTAGACAGTTCACTTTCTTATAAATCACACATCAATAACCTCACCCGTTCTGCCTACTTCCATCTACGTAACATTAACAGATTGCTTCCTTCTCTTTCCACCCAGTCTACGTCCATTCTTGTACATAGTCTTGTTACCTCCCGTATTGACTACTGCAATTCTCTTCTGCATGGTCTCCCCCAAAAATCCCTCCATAAGCTTCAACTGGTTCAGAACTCTGCTGCTCGCATTATCACTAGAACCCCCTCCTACCAGCACATCACCCCTGTTCTTCAGGAACTTCACTGGCTCCCTGTGAAATTCCGGATAATTTTCAAACTTCTTCTGCTCACCTTCAAGGCCATTCGTAACCTCGCTCCTCCTTACCTTTCTGACCTGTTAACCACCACTTGTTCTGCCCGTTCACTTCGTTCTTCTTCTTCTGTCCAGCTTACTGTACCTTCCTTCCGCCTCACCACCATGGGAAGCAGAGCTTTCAGCTGCTCTGCTCCCAGGCTGTGGAACTCTCTGCCCCCTGAAATAAGAAATATTGGTTCTCTCCCCCAGTTTAAATCCCAACTCAAAACTCATCTGTTCAAATCTGCATATTCACTGTGAATCCACTGTTTGTTCATTTTATCTTGTGCTTTATTTTATTGTTCTTATTCTGCCATTGTTTTACTAAGTGTTTTATCCTATTGTAAAGTGTCCTTGGGTGACTTGAAAGGTGCTCATAAATAAAATTTATTATTATTATTATTATTATTACAGCAATGAGGGACCACTCGACAAAGCACAAGAGGAGACTCAAACAGTACACAGTACATAATACAATACATAGAATACAATACAATACACTGAAGGGCGATTTGGCCAGAGTGGAGACACCTGTGTGGAGTGGAGACACACCATCATAATCAGTATTTATTGGAGCTTAATACTGGGAACAAGAGACGTGAGACTACCAAAATAAAACAGGTTGAGCACAGGCATGACACAGGGCAAAGCTGTACGCAAAAAATAAACAACCTAAGCATCGCCACGAGGATCATTAATAATAAACAAAACCCAAGAAACCAAAACGCTTGGTCAATGAACCAGGACCCAGGTGATATTTGGAACATCGCAAATAAATAGATTTGTGCAAGTCAGACAGTTTACGGGTCTCTGTTACAGCACTGGACTCATTTTTATTCACATTTGTGGACTGGTCGATAGATCTAGTAAAAAAAAAAAGCCTGTTGCATGCATGACAGTTTGCATAGAGAACAAATTGCTGAACGTTCATCAGATCAAGGTTAAAGCTTTGCATGTGTCCTCCTTTATCTTACACTGGGCCTGGGTGAAGCGCCTCTGTTCATCTAGTCACTGAAGAAAAACTGTTGTAGCTCCTTTCCCCTCCCTTTAGGATAGGAACTGCAAATGGGGTCAGCAACCTGTTAACCATATTAGAGATATTCCCTCATACAAAACCAAGAGTGAAAGAAAACTGAGTGTTTAGAAAAGTCTGGAGCCTGAGCTTCTTAAATAGCTGGGTTACTAGTTTGATGAATATGCATTTCTTTCTTTTTTTGGTCTGTCACCTCAATAAAAGAATCCAAATTTGGGCACACTTGCATTACATCTGCCAGTCAACGTGTGATCTTGGGATGTAACTCGCAATTTGCCCTCCAGCCGTGGTGGTTTGGGCAAGGCGGGAACTCGTTTATACAGCAGGTTCGACCCGGGCTGACGCACAGATTCATCCATTCATTGCTTCATCATTTCACCAGACATCTCTCGCTCTCCTCTCCCACAGCATGCCGCTTACAGCTTCCTTTAACAGGCCGCCATTAGCACTGCTTTACCACATCATCATAACTCCACTACCCAGCATCCATCCTGGCAAGGGGTACAGTAACCTTCACTACACTTCATGTCTGTTAACCACCTGTTCTTGTGCTGTTTTGGGTTATCCTCAGTCTCATCTTATCCATCTGTTGCTTAATACATATAAATCTACTGAATTTATTACAGTTTTTAAAAAGATGTTTTATAAACTTTGACGTGGTAAGTTAAAAAGTTAAATAAAATCAGTATTACAGGGAATAAAACAACTACATTAAAGTGAAAAAAACTAAAATCATGTAAACTTTGTTTCCTGCCACACTCTTTTCATCTCACTCATGTCATTTTTATCTTCTCTCACATGATGACATGTTTCTTCCATCCAGTTTCTCTTGTCTCCTCTCTCCTGCCTCAGTTACATTCTTCTGCCCGGTAACTACACTCACCCTCTCCTCTTCCTCCTCCTCAGACCCTGGAGACCCAGATGGAGGAATGGTATAAGGAGGTAGGGCAGCTTCAGGTGCAGGCATCCTCCATCCCGCAGCAGACGCAGGTCAAGGAGACGGTTGCAGAGCGACAGGCCGCCGTGGAGGCCAGGATGGTGCGTTTGATCGAGCCGCTGAAGGAGAGGCGACGCATCCTGCTGGCGTCCAAGGAAGTTCATCAAGTTGGGCGAGACCTGGAGGATGAGATTGTGAGCTGACAACACAACCAGATTCACACTCACTACACAAAACACAGGAGTCGTGTTATTGCATGTTCTAATTTTGTTATTGTTACTTTTTTATCTATTTGTAATTGAGGTGAAATATACCAGGCTTCTCTTTAATCTGTACATGAGGTGTGGACATGCATGTTCACATATTCATACATGTACAAATATTCATTTCTTTTCGTCATACCATTGCGGTTGAAGTTGTGGGTCCAGGAACGCCTCCCGATGGCCATGTCTCAGGAGCACGGCTCTACTCTGCAGGCTGTGCAGCAGCTAATGAAGAAGAACCAGGTAAGAAAACCTGAATAGCTGCTAATTAAACTGCAGCCTTAGCCTGAAACCTTAACAGAGGTCCCGTTCCTCTTCACGATAGACCCCCTGCACCCTAAAGCTTTAAACGCAGAGCTCAAGTCACTAAATAACTGATGACTTGTGATAAAGATAATGTCCAGTCTCTGAGTTCTGATCCATCCGTTTACACTCTCAACATCTAAATAGCTCTTTCTGCCTGTGCTGTAGAATCTTCAGAGGGAGCTGCAGAGCCACAGGAGCAGAATTGATGATGTCCTGGAGAGGGCGGGGATCATTGGCTCCATACGCAGCCCTGAGGCAGACTGCATCAGGGCAGGTCACGACCAGCTGTCCCAGCTGTGGGCTCTGCTTTGGGCCGAGACTGAGAGGAGGCAGCTGGTCCTGGATGCCATGTACCAGGCCCAGCAGTACTACTTCGATACAGCCGAGGTCGAGGCCTGGCTGAGTGAGCAGGAGTTGCACATGATGAATGAGGAGAAGGGAAAGGTAAAATTATTTGTCTGAAATATTTATCATTGAAGTAAAAAAAAAAACTCTTTAAAATCACAGGAGCCGTCTTACACACACAGTTCTCTGCAGAATATGCGATTGTCATCTGAATATGTGATACTGTGTTTGTTGGACTCTAATGTGAGCAGGATTTTTTACATGCAGTTTTATTCTGTGTGTGTATACTGAAATTAAAGTGTCATTTCTCGTGTGTTCTTCCTCCTCCTGCCAGGATGAGCAGAGCACGCTGCAGCTGCTGAAGAAGCATTTGGTCCTAGAACAGACCATCGAAGACTACGCTGAGACCATCGGCCTGCTTTCACAGCAGTGCCGGCAGCTGCTGGAGATGGGACATCCAGACTGGTGAGCAGTTAAACACATGCACAAAATCTGACAGAAATTTCTGTCACAACATCTTAAATACAGAAAAGCACCGAATCTCTGGATTATAAAAGGTTTTTCATCATTCACTTCAGTTGTATTTTTATAGCAGTATTTCACAACAAGAGCTTTGTGTTATGAGGTAAAGAAACCTGAGAAAGAAAACCAACCTTAAAACGATCGTCTCTGTTGAAGGGGAGAAAGATTTCTGTTATAACAGGAAGGAGGAGGCTCGGGGGCAGTCGTCTGCTGCCACCGTGTGGAGGTGTGAGAGGAAAGCAGAGAAAAGACAGACACAATCAGCAAAAAGTAGACGTTAATGACTTGCAGTAATGGAATAAAACCACGTGGGGAAAGAAAAAGAGGAGAGTGGGGAAGCACTAACTGATGGCGAGATCCTGATCCATAAATAATCCGAAAGGAAAGTTTAAATCCTAATCCTGAAAGTAGAAGCGATGTCTGTCTCTCGAGCTGGGGGAGCAGTTACTGCTACACTCCTCCTAGCTTTTTTTTTTTGTGCCTTACCTTACACTCTTCCTCCTCTCTTCCACAGCGAACAGATCAGCAAGCGTCAGTCACAGATAGACCGTCTGTACGTGTCTCTGAAGGACCTGGTGGAGGAGAGGAAGAGCCGTCTGGAGCAGCAGTACTGGCTGTACCAGCTCAACAGGGAGGTGGATGAGTTGGAGCAGTGGATCGCTCAGAGGGAGGTGGTCGCCAGCTCGCCTGAACTGGGTCAAGACTATGAGCATGTCACAGTAAGTGTGTCGACAGATGGCCTCTGCACATGAATAATAGATTCAGGTAACAGATTTTATTACCTGAAATTTAAATATTACAAGTAAAATCTCAAAAGGGGTTTCATTTGATTGTAATGTCTAATTATGTTCTTTATTTGACTTGAATGAATGAATGAATGAATGAATACATTAAAATTAGCAGACCGATTTGCTGCAGTAAATAAAACATGCCACACTTCCAGGTCCTACAGGAGAAGTTTACAGAGTTTGCGTCAGAAACGGGCAGCGTGGGCCAGGAGCGAGTGACAGCCGTCAATCAGATGGTGGATGAGCTCATCGACTACGGCCACTCAGAAGCAGCCACCATCGCCGAATGGAAGGACGGAGTGAACGAAGCCTGGGCCGACCTGCTGGAGCTCATGGAGACCCGCGGTCAGATGCTCGCTGCTTCACACCAGCTGCACAAATTCTTCTTCGACTGCAGAGAGGTAAGAGGAGCAAAGCCAAGACGGGCCACAAATTAAACCAAAGGACACACACACACACATATAATGCCGGATATGATAAAGAGCAGATTCATTTAATTAAATTTCACACTTTTATCTTCTTTTATGTCGGGTCACCACAGTGTACATTGGCCTTCGTGATGAGAACAGCTTGAAAAAGAAAGAAAATAGGAAAAATGTAAATCAGGTGCCGATAGAGCATTTCTGCCCTACAAACAGGCAAAATTTCTCCACTGCCTTTTTTCAGGTTTTAGCCCAGATTGATGACAAACATCGAAGGTTGCCAGAGGTTCGGGCTCGGCAGGGCAGCACTTCCAACACCAGCACCCTGCAGAGACTCCTGCACACCTTCGAGCAGGACATTCAGCTGCTTGTCACACAGGTACAGCTGCACATCGATCAACAGACCCTCCTCTAATCTTCATTTAAGGAAAAATTAAAGGAGAATTAAAGGAAGAAGATTGATATTATCTATATTTGGTCTGCAGGAATCTTTATAGAAACTTATTTAGTGATTTTTTTTATTTGTAAATCCATAACAGATGCAATATGGCGAGTAGCTGTCAGGGGCTGGGTCTCTGAACCAGCGTTTTGTCTTATTTTTGTATTGTTTTCTTATGTTTACATTGTGCTCTGTTCATGAAATTCTGAAATTATATTAAGTGTTTGCTTTGTTATCGTCTTGAGTTGCAGTATAGTTTAGGTCCTTTTACGTCGCCTTAGTTATGAGTCTGTCCCAGTTTTCTGTGTCATGTATTTTCTGTCTGTGTGTTTTCATGTTGCTCATGTCATGTCCACGTTTCCTGTTTTATTTTGAAAGAGTTTTGTGTTCTTGGTTTTTTACGTTTAGTTTTACTCTCCCCTTTGTCATTATGTCTCATTCTAGTCAACTGTGTCCTCGTGTGTCTCCTCTTCCCCTCATCACCTCATGTGTGTATTAAAGTCCTCTGTCTCCCTTTGTTCATTGTCGCATCGTCTGTGTTACCTTCCCTACCCGTTGTCACAGTTTCCCAGTCAAGTCATAGTTGTTATCTTGTCTCGTCATAGTATAAAGTCACAGTGAGAGTCATAGTTTCCCAGGTTATGTTCAGGTTTTTCCTCACTTTAGCCATGTTGTATTTTCGTGAGTTTTCAGCCCTAAATAAAGGCTTGCTTTTCGTTATGTCCAGTTTTTGTCTCCTCGCCTCTGTCTGCAATTGGGTCCTCTACTCTCTCCACATGGTCTGCCCCGGCAGCCCGTGACAGTAGCTAACAGCCATTTGTGCTACTGACTGCAAACAGTTTAAATGTGAAAGGAATAACATCTGGAATTTGAAAAAAAATTAATCATTAGCATTGACTGTTAATATTGATTACAAAAGTGTAAATCATTTTTTGCATGCTATTTTAGAAGTTACCTGGCTAACTGAGTAATCCTAATTGGTGCAGTGACCCCCCATGTGGATTTAAAAAGTAAAGAATATCAGTATATCAGAAACTGAATCCAGAAATGATAGACTTTAATGCATTTTTATAACCAATAAAAAACACTGAACTGAACTAAATTATGTGAATTTGTTTAAATTAAATCAAATTCACATAAAATCTATTTCATTGGATAGTAAAGTTTTTGGTTCTTTGTGAGTCTGCCATTTTCATGGCAACACCATCTTCTTACTCTGCATTTAATTTTGCTTGATCTAGTCTCTGTCGTGCACCTGGGCAGCAGGAACAGTGCTACTCAAGAAAGATGCAAAAGCACAGATGTTCTGTGCCTACTCAGGTGACAGAGCCTGCACCACTTGGCCCTGACGAAACACAGCTGTCTTGGCAGCTGTGTTTTGTGCGTCACTCGGAAAACAAACTCTCTCTTTCCTTTTTTCAATTCTGTTTCGTCCCTGTTCAGTTGAGCTGTTTACTAAAGCTTGCCTTCACGCTCTGCCAGGTGCGTCAGCTGCAAGAGAGCGCAGCCCAGCTGAGGACGGTGTACGCTGGCGAGAAGGCCGAAGCCATCGCGTGCCGTGAGCACGAAGTGATGCAGTGCTGGAAAGAGCTGCTAACATCCTGCGAAGAGTGTCGGGTGCAGATCACCACAGAGACTGACAAGCTGAGGTTCTTCGGCATGGTCCGAGATCAGATCATGTGGATGGACTCGATCATCTGTCAGATAGGGACAGGAGAGAAGCCCAGGTATCTACAATACCTTCTACATATGCATGTGGCACCCTGCATAGCAGCCTCAATATCTGTTCACCACATGCACTGTTTAAGATCAAACTCGTTTATTTTCTTTTAAAAAAAATGTACATATGAAATATCATTTTGCTTTTTATGGTTCATTATAATAGCATGTGATGGTCAGCATTCGTGGGCATAGTGAAAGTCTTCAGTGAGTTCAGGTTCTGTGTGGTTCCTGCAGGGACGTGTCCTCAGTAGAGGTGCTGATGAACTATCACCAGAGTCTTAAGAGTGAAGTAGAGGCTCGCAGTCAGAGCATCCTGGAGTGTATTGAGATGGGAAAAACCCTGCTGGCGGCTAGAAACCCTGCAGCTGAAGAGGTGAGATGAGTAAACATGATAAAGACTGTCACTTTAAGTCCAATTTAAACACTGATATCTAAACCTCAGTTTGTTTATAACTTTGAAGACTCGATTAGCCTCCTCTGCAGAGTCATATTGCTAGTTTTAGGCTCTACTAGAGGGGCTTTACATGATTCACTAAAATCACCCTTGTTTTTCGTGCTGGGGCTTGGTGCACCTTCTCAATTCATCCTGTATCTCTGTTATAGCTCCTCCCCCTTTAAGGAAAAATTGTTCTAATTGGCTGCCTCTTGCAAACAGAAGGTTTGACCAGCAAGGATGTGCCTGCTATACAATGAAACTAAGTGTGGAAAACCAAATGAAGCCTGAGCTTTTTCCTCTTAATGATTACACTGATCTCACTGCACCCATGTGACAGTATATGCATGACAGAAAACTTTAGAGATGCATGTTAAGAAACATAAGGTTTTATATTTTATGTGTGAGAAGGAATCGATTCCCTATAATATTTCAATTTTTTCTGAGCATCCATAGAGCTAAACAGACCCATGATGTAATTGTGATATCTTTATTCTCAGATCAAAGAGAAGCTGGACAAAGTGATCGCTAAGGAGCGTGAGCTGTCTGAGAAGTGGGACAAGCACTGGGAAGTCCTGCAGCAATGTGAGTGGATGCAATGGCTTAAAAAGTAAAAAAGACAGGGATGTGCAGGAATCTGGCATTTAGAAGTAAATTAAGATGCTTTCTCTCTTTTTTGGTGTTCTTATTTGTCCTGTTTGCAGTGTTGGAGGTTCATCAGTTTGCCCAGGAGGCGGTGGTGGCAGAGGCATGGCTGACTGCTCAGGAGCCGTTTATCAACAGCAACGAGCTTGGAGGGAGCGTAGATGAGGTGGAACAGCTGATTCGTCGACATGAAGCCTTCCGCAAAGCAGCTGCCACCTGGGAAGAGCGATTCAGCTCCCTGCGGCGGCTCACCACGGTATTATCATCATCCTCACTGTGCAAATATGTCCTCAGTTTAGACAAACTCAGTAGCACGTTCCAAACATGCTCAAATTGTTGATGAAGACTTGGTAGTTTCATCTCTGGTTCTGTTTTCTTTCTGCAGGTAGAAAAGCTAAAAGCAGAGCAAAGTAAACTGCCCCCAACTCCCCTCCTGGGTCGTAAAGTCTTCCTGGATCCCCAAGATGCCTCACATAGTCCACCCACTCTCCCCCGCCTCCCAGTCTCCCCCGTCATGAGGCAGACTATATATGAACAGAACGAAGCCAGCTCTCCTCCATCTCCCTCGCCGGCCACCCCAACACCTTCTCCGTCATCTGCAGCTCGGCGCCTGGGATCAACAGTCGCCAACTACACCCCTGTGATGAACGGCTCCAGCTACCGAAACACTCTGGATGTCCGGGATGGAGGCGTAGTGGGTGTGGCTGCAGGTCTAGGCCGCCCGGCTGCATCCTCGATTGCATCTATAGCCACAGCAGCGATGCTAGTGTCAGCCAACCAGGCACGAGAAAGTGCCAGCACAGCAAGGGAACAGACAGCAAAGGTGATGAGTCACCTGCATCCGGCACAAGCGGCGAGGGAAATTGAGGCAAAATCCTCCCCGTATCTCCGGCAACCCAAAATCAAACACTTAGATGATGCTGTGACGCCTCTGATTGTGGCCAGCCGGCTGGAGAAGGCAAGAGAGCGGGGGAGGGAGAGAGATATGATGATGGGGACAGAGAGAGCAGAGGTAGCAGTGATGGCCGAGGTGGTGCTTCAGGAGCCGAGCCGGGAGCGTCTGCACAGCGAGCCCACCAGAGGGCCTCGAGGATCCAGGACTGACCCTTTGGGCCACGCTGAGCCTCAGGGCCAGACACACACTTATCACCACAGGATAGAACGGCAGCTGTCCAGCGAGCAGCTAATCCAGGCGCGCAGGGATGAGCTGCCTCAAGAGGTGTGGAGGGAACAGGCTGAGAGGCGGGAGAGACGGACGTTGGAGAGGCAAACTTCCAGCGAACAAGAAGGTCACGGGGGCCACGAGGGCCGGCGGAGAGAGAGGGACAGGCACCGGCTGGAGAGACAGGAATCCAGTGAGCACGACACAGGGAAGGAGCAATCAGACAGACGCTCAGCAGGAGGGTGAGACTGAGAGTACTGCAGTGCATTTTAATCTGGATGTGGATATTTATGCAGAAAAGAAGTGAATGTTATTGTAGTCAATTTTGGAGTTGAATCAATTGTGATGTGAACAGTAGGTATTTTTCCACAGAGACAAGAGGTCCACCATGGCAGAGATCGTAGAGCAGCTACAAGAAAGAGAAGCAGCGCAGGTCTGGGTTTAGTCTTTATAAATAAAGAGTGTGATATTTGGGGGCGTTTAGGGGTTAATTCTAAGTTTTGACCAAACTTCCTAAAAAGAGAAAACTGGGATAAGTAATAACGTTTTTCACTTTTGAGCCATAACTCAAATTCATCGCCTCTCCCAACCCTTAGGCCCGCGGTGAGGTGCCCCGACTGCCTAATGGGATACCAGAAAAGTCTTCCCGTCCCGACCGCCCTCGAGCTCGGGACAGACCCAAACCACGACGCCGGCCACGACCCAAAGAGCCCGGGGAAACGACGCGGCGGTCCAGATCTGCACCAGCCCAGAGCAGCCCGATCGTCCCCCAACCGCCCACACATACGGCACACCACGAGGGCTTCCTTTTCCGCAAGCTGGACATTGAGAGCCTGAAGAAGAGCACCAATAGGTGGGTGTTCAGGGTCATAATGATACCTGATACCTGATAGGAGTTATAGAGAAGGAGGATGGACAGTGATGTCATGAGTATCAAACTTTAGGGATTCCAGTTAATCAATTCAAAGCTATTTATGTTCCACAGGGGTTATTGAGGTGCAGAAAAAATGATTGTTTCATCGACTTATTCTTAAATATTAGTTTGAACAAAGCATTTCCAGCCCTCTAAGTACCACTTTCTCATGACACTGCTGCTTCCTCCATTTAATAATTCAACAGGAGTGACAGAGGCATGACTTTAGCATGTTGAGCTAACAGGCTAACACACGGACATGTTGAACAGATGCATGACACACACAGGCTCACAGGTTGATTCCATCGTGTGTTCAACATGAAAATACTCAGAAGAGCTTTGGCATTTCTCAGGAAATCTTACCTTTTTATATTTTTATTGAGATGAAGTTTGAATTTTTACCTTTTTCTCTGAAATAAAAAAGTTCTAGACTGTCTTGTGTTTGTATGTGGTGGAAAGAAGGAGGTAGTCACAGTTTGTGGTGTTGCCTGTGCCTGGCAGTGGGAGATTACAGCTGTTTAGGGCTGGGCGATATATCGAGTTTTTAACCTGTCAGCACGCGCATGCAACCTCTGCTTGCTCCTAAGGTTTTCCTGCCGCGAGGAGAAGTCATGTTAGCGTTGCCAAACAATGAATAATAAAATAAAAACTGAAGGAGTTATTTAACTAAAGGTTAAAAATGTGAGACAAATCAAAGCTTCTTAGTTCATGCAATAAAATGTTCTTTTCAGAACCTCAAAAACAGGGTTTTTACCTTTTTGAGGCCAAACTGAGCTACAGCTTTAGAATAATCACACAGCTACACTAACAAATTAATTTAGGTAGCAGTAGATGTTTTGCAAGGTAAATAACTGTTTTGGTCATTGCAGCTGGGTAAAGAGTAGTAGTTCTTTGCTGGAAACATCTGTCTGAAGGCAGGTATAGCTTAGTGTAATAGATTAAGATCCCCATTAGCTGCAGCAACACAGCAGCTATTCTCCCTGGGGTTGGAAATATAGTGGTGAAAATGTATTAACCTCCTAAGACCCGAACTCTTCCACAGTATGCATTTTTAATTTCTATTTGATATTTGGGCATATTGGGGCCCAATGAATGTAAAAACAAAGAATTACAAGATTTTTTTTACCTTATTTTTGTTTTTAAGAAAAATAAGAGCCACATATCAGGATATTTGTTTAAAATTTTGATAGAGCAGTAGTAGTATAATGTCCTCGTAAGTGGATATCAGGACCATGTAGAGCAAAATTGACTATTTTGGTCTAAATAACCCAAAATGTGATGTCCACATATGTGGACGCCAGGTCCTAGGAGGTTAAATATACCCAGTGTTGGGAAGGTTACTTTTAAAATGTATTCCACTACAGATTACAGAATACATGCCCCAAAATGTATTTTGTAACGTATTCCGTTACGTTACTCAATGAGAGTAACGTATTCTGAATACTTAATATATTATCATACTTTTTACAACTACATGAATGTACTATTGCTGTGTGGTTTATTACTATTACTGCAGGTTACTCTCCATACCAATACTAACTAGATGTTTCAATCTTAATATAAATGAGTAACAGTAGGGTGGACGTTAGGTAAGGCTGCACTTTTAGCAGCGATCTCGTATTAAAACTATTCCGCGTGTATATAAAACAGGTTTGCGGCTCCGAACACTCTGCCTATTGCCTTTATATTAAATAATTTTTGAACAATAATTTTTAAAAATATTTCTTCATGTCATTATGCGGGCCTCAAGTAGAGCTGACATGGGCCGCAGGATTGAGACACAGACATTAGAGCCTCCTAATGCGTGTTTTGTTTGGGTTTCCGCCAGCGTGGAATTACCAGAAATAGAGAGGGCATAGCCGAACATATGAAACAGGAGAAGACCGCTGTGTAATTTCTTTATTTCAACAAAGTAACTGTATTCTGAATACCACCTTTTTAAATGGTAACTGTAACGGATTACAGTTACTCATATTTTGTATTTTAATACGTAACGCAGGTACATGTATTCCGTTACTCCCCAACGCTGAATATACCATATAAACTAACTTTGGCTCTTTTACATTTTGCTGATGACCATGTCCGACATGGTTTGTAAATGCATTTTATACTGATAAGTCTGCACATGTAGTGAAGGACCTGAAGGCTTACTGCACTTTTCTGCTATAAAGATCTTCGTTCATAGCAGATACTGAGATATCGCCCAGTCCTCCAGTTGTTAATTTGTACTGAAGAGTAAGAAAATCAGTGATGAGTACATGAAGCAGGAAAAGGATTCACTAATGTAAATCTTATGTCAGCCTCTGAATATATTATGTCTGTCAGTGCTGATTATTAGGATGTAATTAGAGCACTTTATTAGATCAGAGGCCTGCAGGATTCCCACCGCATGTGAAAACTTCATGCATGACGCTTACGATGCCTCCTGATCTAACGCGAGCCCACAGAATAAAACACAGGAGACTGACTGACTGGCTGAGGAATGCTGTGGGATGGAGCTGCTGGTCAAACACACACACTTATGCACACAGCCTGCCCTCCACTGATGACCACCCTGCTTCTTCCAGAGAGACACCAGCAAGAAAGTCTCTCTCTGCACTGCCCCCTGAGGGCTGGGCTGACCTTGCACAGCTAAAAGCTCATCCCCTCCCAGCTGTGGATGAGTCCCGCTCACGCACCTACTCAAGGCAATGGATGAGTGTGTCGTATGTACATGCCCTGTTATGTACATGGCAAGGTAAAGCACAATGTCGAATGGCTTAAATCCGGACAAGTGTGAATCTCCAAAGTGCTCCTCGTTGTTAGCGGTTGATGCCGAGAAAGAAAGCGAGGATGCATTTAGGGAAGGACTGAGATTCAACCTGTCTCTGTTACATCTCTACGCGATGAGACACTAAGTAAGTTGATGTGCACATTAATATTCTGGTACCTTGTTAGGGTATGGTGCCTGTGAAAGGTGTATGAAAGTGGACGACAAACTTCCACATCTATGCTTCGCATTAAATTGAGGTTACAGCTGTGAGCGCATTCACATGTCAAATTTCCTCTGAAAAAGTTTAAACTTCTTCCCGAGGTGTCCTGTTCATAATGTACAGGAAGAGAAAAGTAATATCTGCTACTGTAAACTAGGAAAATACATTAAAAAACCCACACCAAGGAACAGAGATATTAAAAGGAACATTTTTTTTAGCTCAAGTGTTTTTAAAGGGAACCTGTTGTGCTCATTTCCAACTCTTCCCAACAGTTTTGGCTCTTCCTTATTAACTCTTTAGTTTACCGCTCCTTTAAGCCATTTTTCTTCTGCCTTGCAAAGCAAAGCTCTGGATGTGGTTGGAGATGACCACGTCTGGGATATCTGCACTCCCCGCCATCACACAGAGCCAACAATAGAAAAACATTTCAAGAATGAACTTTTAATGGGTGTTGTGAGCAGTTCAGACATCACTTATCACTTGCACCATTGTTTTTTTTTTTGTTTTTTTTACCCGTGTATCTACTGTTGAGTTTGAAATCAGGATATTAAGCTGCACACGGAAACTTGCTCTGAATAATACTGGCAGTACTGTGCAAATGTTTTAGTTGCTAAAAGTAAAAGGAGAATGTTTAAAATAAAATAATACAAAGTGAAGTAAACAAAAATGAAACTTCTTTTTAAGGTCTGTGGAGATTTGCCACAGATCATCTGTGGAGCCTGGCTGTCTCTTTATGTAATCTCACACTGGCTTCCACACCATCTGCTGCAGAACTCTTTGTTCTTCTTGTGGCTGAAAGTTGCCCTTAAGAACTCTGACTGTGTGTCTGGGCGACTGAAGATAAAAATATAAACAAGTTCCTGAAACTTGTGCACAGTACTGCCGATGTCAGCTATTAACTGGAATGCTGTGTGCATGTAAACACGCTCACAGAGGGAAAACGAGCATGTCTGGATTTTAAGCCGCGTTGTTGCCAAAATGGCATTTTAACCAAACTCCTCTGTCTCTTTTCTCCTCTCTTCCTCGGTGCTGCTGGCTGCTCCTCTTGTCTCCTCCAAGGTAAGTCACATGTAAGCCTCGCACACAGGTGCACACAAGCTGTACGTAGCCTTCCTCCCCATACCTCCATCCCCCCACCTCCTCCGTCTGTCTGTCCGTCCGTCTGCGTTTGTTCAGCAGTGTGTTTCCTCTTCCCTTCTTGGGGCTGCTTCATCCCGCCTACCTACCTGTCTGCTCTGGTCAGGTGAGTGAGGTGTTAGTGTAGCGACTGTGATTCTGCAGCTCTTCCTGACTCCTCCTGTCCTCCCCCACCCCTCCACCCAACCTCCTTCCCCATGCTCCTCTTTTCCTCCCACCTTTCCCTCCTCTTCTTCCCCTCCCTTCCTCTCCCGCCTCCCCCCACCACAGCAGATCATGGGTCAACCTGTACTGCGTGCTGAATAAAGGGGAGCTGGGTTTCTACAAGGACGCCAAGAACACCACGACGCCCTACAACAACGAGCCGCTGCTCAACCTCTCCCACTGCCACTGCGACGTCACCAATGGCTACAAGAAGAAGAAGAACGTCTTCACGCTCAAGTAATCGGCTGTTTTCGCACTCACATGTACTGCAGACAGGCACTTTCATGCTTCACGTTAGTGTGTTTTCACTCTTTAGGGCCTGGGCACATTGTAAAAATAAACAGTGTGAGTAATTTATTTGGTCATAACCACAAACCCAGATTTGATCTAGTAAACCCATTGTACATAATTCTGGTGTTCCAATAGCTAAAAACCTGCTTCTAGACAAAAAAGGTCACATTTTCTTTTAGTTTTCAAAAATATGACACTTATAATCTTTCCAAACTGAAACGAAACAACGCTTTCTTCCATTTTTTTGGCCATGAATCGTTAGCATCCTGCTGATGCATGCTGATTGGTCAGCTAAGGATTCACGATGTGATGAGCTCCCTCGATGGAACCTGTTTACAGACGATAACTAGACGTTAGAAGCGTAGTTAAACCACAGCTGAGAGTCGTGTTTAAGAAGCAGCTGGTTAAAGGTGACTGAGATCAGTAGGCTGTTTACTTCTTCTCTGAAATTAAAAAAGCAAATGCCTTAAAGTGTGTGACACCTCATAATAATTACAGAAAGATATTTTACTAAAATAGAAATCTAAAAATAGAACACATGATACAGTGAGGGTGAAACATCTTTCCAAATCTTAAAGAAGAACTTAAAGTAGTCTAAGCTACACAGACACGGGGATTTCCAAATTGATCTAAGTTGAATTTTAGTTAAGTAAAAGTCAGAGCAGTAGCAAATGACTCGCGCTTTTCCTCTTTTCCACACTGTAGTTCTGTGGCTCACAGATGGGGCCCACCCCACAGTTTGGGGACCACTGCTCTAAGGCTGAGTTTAACTCTTCTTCTCTCTTTGCAGAACGAAGGACGGCAGCGAGTTTTTGTTTCATGCAAAAGATGAGGTGAGACATTTTTTCTGTTTCCTGCACGCCTCAGAATAGTGAAAGCAGCTGTAACTGTGCATCTGCACGTCATCGAAAACCTTAAAAACATTCATGTTAACAACTGAACCGGCCAGCTGACATCTGTGCACCCCTCTCTCCCATCGCAGGACGACCTCAAAACGTGGGTGACTAATATCACCGCCAGTATTTCAGAGCACGAGGAGATTGCCAAATGGGGTCAGCCCCAACCAACTACCTCATCCACCGACGAGGGCACGCGCCGCGACGGGAGCAAGGTGGACAACAGGTCAGAGCGCGGTGGCGAGCGTTCGGACCGGGGTGACCGAATCGAGCGTGCTGAGAAGGAGAAGGAACGGGACAGAGAGAAGGAGAAGGAGAGGGATAAAGAGAAGGAGAGGGAGAGGGGCGAACGGTCGGAGAGGTCAGAACGGGCTGGGAAGTCGGACGCAAAACGATCAGAAAAGTCCAGTAAGAAAAAATGAGCTTGGACGGGAGCTGGGATTGAAGCTCACAGTATGAACTCTGGCTGGGAGGCGGGGCCATAAACTGGTTGCGAACGCCCCCCTCCTCCTCTTCGCCTCCAACACTGTCAACAGAGCAGTCGTGTTTGGATGGAAATCGAAGGTTTGACCCGGGCTCACTCATAGGACAGACGGGACGGATTTGATTTGGAGCAGGAGACACCTCCCTCGCTCTCCCCCTCTATCTCTCTCTCTCTCTCTTCTGTGTCTCTGTGAGAACGCACAGAGTCACCGACGCCCCCTGGCGGCTGTTTCGGAGAACTGCCTGAGAGCAGGGTGGCGTTTTGTGCTGCGGAGCCCCGGGCAGCGTCGCCGCGAGAGAGAGACGGGACGCGCATCACGGTCAACGGGAAGGCTGTTAGGCTGACGGCTGGTAGAGCGATAAAACGTAGCTCATGCTGTTCCATGTTTGTTTTTTCTATGAGACGAGCTCCGTCTGTATGTATTTCTCGTCTGTGTGTCCTATTTACTGTATATATCTGTCTGTAAGTCGAGACATCCTACACTACGTCTTATTACTCCTTGGAAATACAAACAGAATGAAATTATGCCAAAATGTTTTACAGACCTTCTTTTACTTTCTCCGCTGTATCCCATCTGTCTGGAGGTCTGGCCATGAAAACATGTAGAAATTCTAATAGTTTTACTTGGATAACAAACTGCACTGTAAACACACGCGTGCACTTGCCCTGGATGAGTCAGCACTGATCTCCAGGTTTGTGCTGACTCTGTTTAAGAGAAGAGAAGAGTAGACGTCGGTCTTCAGAACTTTGTTACGCACACAAAAAACAAGAAGAAATGTATCAAATCAAGATCCCAGGGCATACACAGCAGTTTCCCTTCCCTTGGGTAGGATTTTATTTTAGCATTATAGATTTTCTAGTGAGCAGTAGGTGGTCAGAAGAAATAAAAAGTCTTGTTCCCAGGGGCCTCATTCATTAAAACGATTTTAAAAGTGGACCTCTTGTAGTTTTATTTATATTCTGTCATATATAGACTTTTACAGTGGTAGATAAATGCTCATATTAAACACGGGGCAGGTGGGTATTCCTAGTATGATCATTGGCCTTACCAGGTGGTGGTTTAAGTTTAAGAGGTCCACTTAAATTAATGAATAAAATAGGAAAAAATCTTTATTTTTGATATTTCTAATAAAAATGAAACCATTCATTGTCATCTGCTTGTTTTACCATCTAGATCAGTTTTTCATGATTTGGTCATAAGCACAAAATCTGCATGTTTTTAATGAATGAGGCCTTCAGGGATGAAAACAGGCCTCATCTACTCTTTTATTCTCTTACAACATCAAACTACTGGATATTCTCTTTGATTTATTATACATACAAATTTGTTTTTATACAGAGTTTAAAACAAAATCTTGTGTGTGTGTGTGTGTGTGTGTGTGTGTGTGTGTGTGTGTGTGTGTGTGTGTGTGTGTGTGTGTGTGTGTGTGCGCGCGCTGCTGCTCTCCGCTCCCAGGGTCTCCATAGCTCTCAGGTTATTTGTGTTGGTGTGTGCTTCACACTCGTCAGTACGTTCATCCCCTCAGATGCCGCCTCAGTCTTCCGGATACAATACGTCCCATTCACAACACACATCTACACACACCCCATTCACACATTTGTACTTCTATCTTTGTGATGCTACATTCCCTCACCCCTTAATTTAACCCTGATTCTGAACCTTCAAATAAACCTTTCAGAGCGTCTTTCAAATTCAGGTCCTGGAAATATGTCCTCGCTCACAAAGATAGACTTACATCTTCACACGCACACATAAAACCCATCAGGCTGAAAATGTTAGAGGTTATAAACGAGTCTTAAAAGTCATCAGGTGGAAATGACTGAAGCGATCAATTAAAAAAGCGAATGAGCTGACACGGCACTGACAAAATATTTCATAAGTGAGAGATTGCATGCTTTTCTTGGAGAGAAATCACTCGTCTAAAGAAGCTCGTCTTTGCAGTTTAGCATCCTTGTTACAAGTATATGTTTCATTTCATGGTAACGCACCACAATGCCATAAACAGCAGGAAATGAGAATCATCACGGTTTGGTTTATCTGGTAAATGCAGCTTTGTGAGGCACCAGCGGTGGATGGTGGCATTAATTTCCTGCCCCGTTAGATGCATGCGGGCCAGACTGCATTTAAACTTCTTTTAAAGTGCGTTATTGTCACCGCTGCTGTATGAAAACTCATTCCAGCTCTCGTGTTTCTGATGCTCTCTGTTAAAGTTCAGCTGAAATGCATTTGCATAATTGTTATTTTATTTTTAATAATTAATTATTTGCAGCTCCTGTACTGCATGTGAAACAGAAAGCTAGATAAAATAGAAAGGCCTCATTCGTAGGGCACACGTCCAAGTTAGTTTCTTGGAGCATTAGCTCCTGATGCTCCCTGATGCTGTGGGCACAGTTTCAGGATATGTGGTGCATTTTAACCCACACCTGTGGCCTAGAACCAATCAAACTATGACTTCTAAAGTGGAAATGATGCAAGAGAAAATAAAAATTAAAAAAAATCCCCGCAGCCACAGTGGAGAACAGGAAACACAAGCGCTTGTGTTCAGCCATCGAGATAATGCTTATGTTTATCTTCTGTTTGCCAGCGGCAGCCATTCAAAAGAAATCAGGACTAAAGAGAGCATGGCCTTTTAGGGAGAAGAGCTACAACAGCTTATTTCAGACAGAAGATAAACTAAGGGGCTCCACCGGGGCTCGGTATAAATGTAAATCATGCAAAGCTACGCTGTTAGAGTCCAAGAGTAAAACTATGGAGCTGAAAATGAGCTTAACAGGTTGTCTTTTTTAAGGTGTTTTCTCTTTTTGATTAAATTTTTTGGTCAGTGCACAGTTGCTTCACAGAGCTTCGAATGCAGCCTTTTGGTGTTTTTACTTTTCAAAACACCGTCTGCCCATGGACTTTACCTGCTCTCTCACCTTTCTGCTGCATGTCACAGAGTCTGCCAGCTCATCAAAGACGCATCACTCCAATACTTACATTTTTAAAATCATAGACCAGGTTATTTTTTAACTCAAACATGAAGGACTTCACATAACTTCAGTAATATTTTACAAGAAAACATTTACATTTATTTGTAAGAAGGCTGTAAAGCCCAAGAATCCAGCTCGTGTCTATATTTGCTAGGATAGAGTTCATATTTAAGGCTTGTTAAAGATATGGTTATCGGTCAGCTGATTGTGTTGGGTCTTATTTATTTATTTATTTATTTACTTTAGGTTTTCATTGCTGGATTTTAAATTCCCTCCTGACCTACAGACCTCGTTTCTGTTTCTCATAAAATTTGTCTTTAGAACTTGTAATTTATTTCATGAGAATGCCACATGAGTGCAATCATTTGCATGCATGTCAGACACAACAAACACACCAAGAGTGAAAAGAGTTCCATGTTTAAAGTGACACCGAGCCAGCTGGCTGACTGATTATGAATCCAGCATCATAATAAACCTCCATGATTTGTTTCTGCTGATACACACAGAACAGATCGCGCAGGGTACAGCTGAACCAATAACAAGTCAAATAACTTTACACTTTAGAGAGCAGAAACATTTAGATAATATATGAAAGGTAAACATTGGGACAAATGAAAGCTCGACGGTTTGGGCGTGTGTGCCGATACCCTGCCCGTCTGTCTGTTGTGCTCACATCAGCCTCATTCTGTCGGCAGACGCGAAGTAATAAATAAAAATACCTTTTGGTTTGTTGTTAATGTATTGAAAGTGTTTTCTTTTCTGCCTGGAAATGAATGTAGATCATTGATGTTGAAAATGTTTCATGTTGGATCAGTGTTTCCTCCTGTTTACACGATCAGGGGCCAAAAAAGCCCCGAAAAATGAAACGCACTGTTTTTTAAGCGGAGGGAAACACTGGTGCAGATTCTCTGATGCCATTCAGACACTTCAGACTTTGACATGTTGCATCTTGTACACCAAAAGCACTCAGTAGTATGCAGTAATATGAAGTCTATGAGGATTGTAGAGCGGTGTGTTCAGGGATTAATGTTGCCGATGATGGTGAGGATGATGTCCGTGGTAGCAATGGAACTTTATGCAACCTTTTCTTTGCACTAGGGACGCTGGCCTGTTGCAGGGCTGAGGGCTGGTGTTCACTGGTGTTGGGGATCCAGCAGAGGGACGTCAGACCCGGACAAGTTAAAAGTTACCAAAATGAGAAGATTAAAGTATTATGAGTGACCTTTTCAGGTTCAGTCACATGCAGTTTGGCTTTGAGAAGGGCGTGAAATTCACTTTGATCTTCAAAGTTCGTGTACAGCTTATGGACATTTATGCAAGAGCTAAAACCTTTAACTGAACGAACTGCTTAATAATCAGTTCGTCGTTTTGGTGAGTGGTCCTAGAACCTTCTCAGCAGAGCCGGCCTTTTATAGAAAAATCTATAAACAAACTTTAAACAAACACTACTTTTGTTATACTACATTTTTCTTTTGACAGCACTGACTGTAATTAATATTGAAACATAAGTTCAGTGACATTACTGCAAAAATTAAACCTGGAAGAAGTCCTGTTTTCGTTCAGAAGCTAATATTTAGCGACACATAACACTGTGCTATGTACTTATTAAATAGACTGTATATAACAGATGGACTTTGCCACTAGTGAGTGAAGTTCTGATTTGAAGCCTGAAGATATTTTCAACCTTTGCTATTTTAGTTGTTTGAAACCAGATGTCACAGAAGGGGTGTGGATCTCGCTGTGAAACCAACACTGGACATACTCGGACTGGTCCCCCTTTGTGACTTTAATAATTCATAATTCACAAAAAATTTAAAAGGCATCTTGTTGTGTTGAATAAAAGTGAAAAAAAGAAGTGATTGAGCCCATAATCTAATCGGGAAAGTGAGATCACAGAGGAGTCGAGTTGAGGGACATTTTCCATGCAACTCCACCTGTTTTTATAACTACAGGAGTCGCCCTCTGCTGGCCATCAGCAAGAATGCAGGTTTAAAGCTTTGTCCATCTTTTATATGGTCTGTTTGTTACCCAACCTGGACACGCCTTTCTTTCTTTCTTTAGCTTCACTGCACTGCCCTGTTATAACTTAGGTCTTAATTCTCTATACAACCAAAAAACTACCATCATGCTTTTGCTCAAATTTCTTAAATATTTTTATTACAGGATTAACTGAATATATGAAAGTTTGTCAAAGTAACAATGATGAGGATTGTGTATTTGCTCGTCTTTTACTGACCAAACAATTAATTGTTTTAAGGGTGAAAATCACCACTAGTGTCACTGTTGATCTTGATATGTTGCCTCTGATAGGAAAACACTGATGCTTCTGTTTCCACGTCAGGAGCGGTGAAAAATTGGACCTCGTGAACACACTGCCTGAATAGAAAGTCATAAGAAAACTCGCAGACATTAAAAGGGCTCGTACACTGAAGCGAAATGTTATTTTCTCAGACACAAACGGGGACAATCAGGGCTGCTAAGTTCAGTGGATGTTCAGGTGGGACGAGAGGTTGAATTTATTGATGTTCTTTAGGGATACTCATTAGAAATGATCACTTTTATCATCACGTCATGAATAATATTATGCTTTAGTTTGGTGCTGTTGACCACCTCATTAATGTGGTGACATTTTTTTATCACCAGCCAAAGATAAAAAATAATAAATACTGAATATAAATTGGTGTTTTAGCTGATCTGCTGCCACAGCGTGTCCCCTCCCAGGAGCCCCTGAGCACCACTGTCTGTCTGCCCTCAGCCTGCCTGTCTCTCTGTATGCCTGTCTGCAACCTGCAGCCTGGAAATGTACAAATCTATTTGCTCAGAAGTATTTTCTGTAAAAACAGACGTGAAAATAATTTATCCATGGTGACACTGGGAAAACCGCCCCTTGTCTTTTTCTATGTTGAATCTTGGAGTCTGAGTCTGTCTTGAAGTGTGACTGTTTATTTGTGCCACAAGCCTAGATGAAAGTGATGTACACCTCCTGCACACAAACAGATCAGGACAAAGAGGTTGCATGAATGACATAGTCTCTATTACAGTACTGCTGTGCATGTCTTTGAGTCCCATTCTACGATCACTGTAACATACAGGGGTGACACAAACTACCGACATGGAAAAAAGGTGAAAAAATGACCCAATAATGTACAAAATGATCAGAACCAACTGCAAATTACTGACTCTGTACAGTTGTTTCTTTGAATTGAAAAGTACAGATTGAAAGATAATCTTTTGTGTGTGTGTGAGTGTGTGTGTTTTTGTGAGTCATTTAAGCAGGTCTGGGGGCTCCTATTTTATTTCCACTATGACTGAGGGTCAGTATAATTCGCATTACCTACTGTGTCAGTCAGTTTTATAGACACAAAAAAAGCCATATTGACTAATTTCATTTCTAAAGTTCCTCATTGTCATGTTCAAGTGACCAGTTTGAGATGATATGAGATACATCCTGACGTATTATCCTGCTAGAAGCAGCCATCAGAAGACGGGTAAGCTGTCATCATAAAAGGATGGACATGGTTAGCAACACTCAGGTAGGCTGCGGTGTTTAAATAATGCTCACTTGGTACTAAAAAGCCCAAAGCGTGCCGAGAAAATATCCCCCACACCATTACACCAGCAGCAGCATGAAGCATTAATACAAAGCAGGATGGATCTACACTTTCATCACAGTGTTCTTGACGAATTCTGACCCTATATCTGAATATCACCTGGTCTGAGATTCATCAGACTTCATCATTCTCCAATCTCAGTTTCATCAGTTTCTTGTTCATAGCTGACAGGAGTGGCAGCCAGTGTGGTCTTCTGCTTCTGTAGCTCATCTGCTCCAAGCATTCATAGATGCTCTTCTTCATATCTTGCTTTTAATGATTGGTTATTTTAGTTATAGTTGTCTTCCTATCAGCTCAGAGCAGTCTGGCCAATCTCCTCAGACATCAAAAAGGCATTTTTGCCCAGAAAACTGCATTTTCTCCTTTTCAGACCATTCTCTGTCAACTCTAGAGCAGGTAGTGTGGGGAAATCCCAGTAAGTCAGCAGTTTCTGAAATACTCAGACCAGCCCAGCTAACTCCATCAACCACGCCATGTTCAGAGTCACGTAAATCACCCAAACACATTCTGATGTTCAGGTTCAACTTCAGCATATTTCAGTGACTACATGTAGCTAAGTGTCCCTTTGAAATTTATATCAACAACAAGTTTAACTGTTAACAGACCCAAATGTGGTTTTCTTATTGTTTCTCTGCACAGTGATCAATGAGTACAGTTCACTTTAAATCTAAGATTGATGCAGAAAAGGGAAAAGTGGGGAAATATGACGTGGTCAGAATTTAAGCCTTCAAAGTGCTTTTTATGAATTAAAAAAGGAAATATCATTTTAAGATATGTAAATGAGGTAAGTGATTCGACAATGATTTTATATCTGAATGTGTTTGGAGAGATCCTAAAATGCACAAATATGAGTACTAGCCTAATACAAATAAAAGACGTATTTTGGCATCAGAAACTACAGATTATGCTTTATACACTTAAGAATTCGGGTCTTTACCGTTCCGAAAAAACCCCACAGTTATTATTTTAAAATTTTAAAGATTAATTATGTTAGTTCATTCACTCAATTTGAATGTGTTTGGGGCTTTTATGCACAAAAGTGTAAAACATTCACTTGAATATTATGAATTAATAAAAGCATTATCTCGGAAATTCACTGAAACTTTTAATTAAAAAAAGCTGCTACTTTTTATTTTAGTTATTTTAAGTTAGAATCTTAGTTGAATAAACGAGAAGTAGATAGAAGGGGCTTTTATTTTCTAAGCGTGTGTGGCCCCGGAGGCGGAAATGCAACACGGAAGGTTTTCAAAGGTGCACAGGGAACGAAAGGACGGGACGGTTGATACGGAAGAAGGAGTTTTGTGTTTTGAGTCCAGCTGGACCCGGTTTAACCCCTCACTGGGGCTCAAAATGCGCTGCGGAGTTTCGGACACAGCAGGCGGAGAGTTCATGTGAACAAACATGGAGCCGAGATTCGGCAGCGAAGTGGCGTCGATTGTGGAAGTGGCCATCCAGGCGACTCTGTCTGTCTTCAGGGATGTGTTGGCGAAAGAGGCGCCAAACACGGAGTGGGAAAAGGCGAGGATGGGTGAGATCCAAGAGATAGAGAAGTCTTTGGTGGTGCAGATCCACAAAGTGTTTACGGAGTTCTCCTCGGAGCTATTCGAGGAGAACGAGGCTTTGCGGGCCAAAGTGGAGCAGCTGGAGGACGTGCTCCAGAGGAAAGCCGGGCAGCTCGAGCAGGAGCTGGAGGCCAGAGTGGGGCAGCTGGGCAGAGACATGAAGCAGCTGGAGAAGGAGCTGAAGACCATCAGCGAGGGCCCGACTCACGTCCTGCTGCAAGACGGCTCAGTGATGGGTGAGAAGCAGTCACATATCAACTAATCGATCAATCATTCTGATCGAGATTGATTTCTGAAGGATCATCTTTGAGTTGGGGGGTATTTTCTCAAATTCACCCGGGAAGTTCAGATCACATCAAGGGCCAGATATATGACTATACACACGCTACGCATTCTCATTTTCTTTTTCATGTTTCGTTTTTCCAGATGGGGGCCACTAAAAATATTGGGGTGGCACACCAGAAACATAATTTCCAGTTTTATTTTGCTGTTGTCAAATATAGGGTTAAGATTATGGCAAAAAAGAAAGAAAAGAATTAATGTCTAGTTAATTTCCTGCTACAAAAGTTGATATAGCTGAAAATGTGTACATATGATTAAAGTTTTAACCCCACATGCTGTTAGTTTAGCACACGAGCTTCAAACTGGGCCTCGAGGCAGAGTCCTTTTTTAATTGGTGTGCTGATTAATTGTGCAATATGCAGTAAAATGGCAATTTACAATAAGCCAAGTGATTCGGTTTCTAAAAGTGAATCACTTGTACATCTGATCCACTCAGACACAGTTTTAGTAGCGAGGCTTTATTCTGTCTCCTTTTTGTGTTTATTTATCTCAGGATTATAATTCTGCCTGTTTATTTATGCTGTTAATGAATTTAAAACCATGTCTCTTCCCTTTGAACTCAACATGTGGTTGGAAAAAGGGAATTTTGGAGGGGACACCAGTTAATCATGTAGGTAAACATTTATTTTAAAGCTCATCTACAAGGGCAGCTGTTCCTGATGTGGAAACCTTATTGTAACCTTCTTCTAGATCGAACCTCTTTAGCAAGTCATCTCAGCTCGAGTTCAACTAAATTACAAATAAATTAGAGTTTTTGGGATGATGATAAACATGTTAAACATAATGTCGATTATCATATATTTCATAGAAGAAGAAGCCAAGTAGTCAAGTGAGTTCATTAAATAACAATGTGTAACTTTGTCTTTAAATGCAGGAGGTCCTGTGCTGTCAGTGTCCACCAGTCCAGACGCCCCAGAATCGGCTGCAGAAGAATCAAATCCAGACCCGCTGCCCATTTCTGCAGGAGCTGCTGAAGTCGTCCCCACCTCCACGGCTGCATCGGTGACCGTCCCCAAACCTGCGGTCGCCCCCATGGTGCTCGTGGGCAGAGTCAGCTCCGCTCCCACGGTGCTGTTGGTTGGTGCCAGCCAAATCGTAGCGCAGTCATCGGCCGTCTCAGAAACGACGGGAGCTGCAGCAATCGTGCTCAAACCAGCGGCCTCGCCGGGCTCTACACCTCAAAATGTCCCCAGTCCCGACTCCAGTACTGTCAGCGGTCTCGACTCGACACAGGAGAAGGTCGGATGTTTCTGTTTGACACATTCATGTCTCCATTTGGAAAACAGTAGATCCTAATTCTTGTCAGCTGCATTCACAGATTCAGCGTGTTAGGATGTTTTAGTTGAGATGCTTAGAAAGTCTTTTCATGCAAACTCAGATTTATTCTGTTGTGTCACAGAAGTCTTTGGAAGGAGGAGCTTCTGGGAGGACAAGACGAACGAGAAGAGCACCTGCTAATAGTGAAACAGGTACCGGTGTTGCTTTCAGATGTGACTATAAACATGTTGATTTGAGATTTAGGAGGGGGTTGTGTGGGTGGAAATGGATAATAACAATCTATACATTTGCGCCTTAATTTCCAGTTTCCGTTGACAACGGCAGCGAGGAGAAACAAAGCAAGTCAGCTGAAGAGCCTGGCAGACGACTGAGAAAGACGGATTCGCAGACAGCGAGGCGGTTCTTCTGTGAGCACTGCGACCTCGGTTTTCACTGGAAAGGCGAACTGAAGAAACACATGAAGGTCCACAAGAAGCCTTTTCCTTGCGATCAGTGTGGCAGGAGTTTCCTAGAGAAGGCGTCTCTGGAAAATCACGTTTTGCGCCACGAGGCAACTAAAGCCCCGCTGCCCTTCCCGTGCCCTCAGTGTAAACGATCGTACAGGAAAGAGGAGTCGCTTCAGAACCATCTCAAGCGTCACCAGCGGTCGAAGCCTCCGAAGCCATTCTCCTGCGATCAGTGCGGGAAAACGTTCAGAATCAAGCAGTCTCTGGAAAACCACCTGTTACGCCACGAGAAATGGAAGCAGCTGCTGAAGTGCCAGCTCTGCGACAAGACCTGCAAGACGTCGGTTCAGCTCAAGTGTCACATGGCCGTGCACTCGGAAGAAAGGCCCTTCAGCTGCGTGACATGCGGGAAGGAGTTCAAGAGCAAAGACACGCTTCGCTTCCACCAGATGGTTCACACAAACACCAAAAAGTATAAATGCACAATGTGTGAGGAGACCTTCAAATATGCCCACTCGCTGACTGTGCATAAGAGGAAGCACACAGGCGACAGTCCCTTCGTGTGCTCCGTGTGCAACAGGTCGTACAGGACCGGCACGGCTCTGAAAAGACACAGTGTGGTCCACACGGGAGAGAAGCCCTTCACCTGTCACATATGTGGAGCGAGGTTCAGCTTGAATAACAACCTGAAAAGGCATCTTCGTATCCACACAGGAGAGAAGCCATTCAGCTGCCAGGAGTGCGGCAAGAGCTTCTCAGACAACAACAAGCTCAAGTCCCACATGCTCATCCACGGCGCCAGAAAGCCGTTCATGTGCGATCTGTGTGGGAAGACCTTCCTCTTCAACTGCAGGCTGCAGATACACCAGAGGTACGTGCACGCCGACAGGAGCGAGCAGTCGGACGGCACGCAGAATTTCTTCCAGACTCGACGGCAGAACAAGTCGCTGGTTAAACCGTACAGCTGCAAAATATGCCTGAAAGGTTTCAGCGCCGCGTGCTCGCTCAAACTTCATGAAAAAGGCCACAGCGAGCACAAGGAGTTCAACTGCGGCATCTGTGGGAAGTCCTTCCACAACAAATACTCTTTCAGCTATCATCAGCGGAGCCACACGGGCGAGAAGCCGTTCGTTTGCGACGTGTGCGGGAAGCGGTTTTTCCACGCCGCGAGTCTGAAGCAGCACGAGCGCATTCACACGGGTGAGAAGCCGTACAAATGTGACCAGTGCGGCAAGGCCTTCAGAACGGACGGGAACTTCTACAGACACATGCGGATCCACACGGGGGAGAAGCCGTTCGAGTGCGTGTACTGTCAGAGGAAGTTCCACCAGTCCAATCAGCTCAAGTCCCACCTGCAAATCCACACAGGGCAGAAGCTCTACTCCTGCCAGCAGTGTGGCCGAGGCTTCTCTGATTCACGGCAGCTCAAGAAGCACAGCTGTGACGGGTCGTAGGTGACGTGGGGCTGCTATCACCTGATAGCAAGTAGGACTAATAAATGAAATGGAGGCATTAGTTACCCATGGCCCGGTGCCTTTTTGCTTACAATTTTGCTCAGCTGAACAAAGCTGTTTTCATACATGAAGTCCAGAGAATCAGGCGGGGCGTCATCTGTAGTTTAACTGCAGCACTGAGCAGGAAATTATTTGCCTCGCTTTTCTAGAAACTCGCAGTTTAGTGAAGCAGACCGGACGCCTGACCTCCATTCACTCGCTGTGAATTCACTGGACAATTGTCTGCTCTTCTCTCACATGCACCCCATCACACATCATGTGGACTCTATACTGCACAGACTGCATCAAGCACCTCCATCAGTTAACCTCTTCTTCAACCACCTGGTCGTTGCTTTTGGTTAGCGGTAGGGTTGAAGTTTGTAACATCTGTATGCTTGTGCAGCTTAACCCTAATCCTACTGCTAAATAACTCTGCGGTGACCTTGGTGGTTTTTAACAGCGCCCTCTCTGTAAATTCTTGGTTAAAACTGTCGAACATCAACTAGAACAGTTAACAAAATGTTAAAAAAAACAGCTGTTATGACTTCATGTCTGAAACATCTGAGTACTGTGTTAAAGAGGGATCAGCTGGGGTTGTACTTTTGTGTAGTGTGAATTTGTACCATGAGCCGATGCAGCGACTAAACCAGGCAAATCATTATGAGGCAGTGGCAGCCTTGAAAGTGCAAAGCCACTTGAGGAAAATGTGAAATATCGAAAGTTAGAAGAAGAGCAGCTCACGTCTGAAAGCATAGTGAGACAGTGCCCCCTGGAGGTTGGTTACAATTTGCACATGGGTATAACAAAAAGTACCCAGAAGAGGTACTGATCTTGGCATGTCCTTGGTTAATAGAGTAGACATTTGAATGTTGCCGCTCTTTCTAAATGGTGCCGGCAATATTAATCATTTAAACTAACGTTATCTTTTATTCATTTAATGCCAGTTAGCTGTTGGGTCTCACACGGCACTGTATTTCAGCTCTCGATGTCTCTCTATGACTGAAAGATGGATGGCAGCCCCGCTAATCAGCACAGTGCTGTACGACTTTGTACTACAGGAACGGTTATATGTTGTGTCAGATCAAACTCTGTTTCACTGGGGCGATGCATAAGCACATTCTGCACAGGCATGGTTTCACAGGTTTCACAGCCACCTCTGGATGAATCTGGGCTTTTATTTTGAAGGTACATTTATTGACTCACCTGTCAAATCTGTTTTAAAAAAATTGCTACAAAAAGCTTTACAAGCTCGGTGTTTGCTCAAGGGTTCAAGCCAGAGTCTGTTTTCTGCTACCAGACAGCTCTGAGTTGATTCAAAATGCAAACAGTAACTCTAGATATAACTCACAAGTATGCTAAACTACATATTTGCTACAGTAATGAGTAAACACATGTGGCTGCTGGTGTACAGCTGTTGATTGGCTCTTTGGACCTCTGGCTTTGCAAAATCCTCCCACTAATTTTTGTTAAGGAACTTTTGACTTATCCTTATGCAGCAAGTCTGCAAAAAAACTGAGCAGAGTTTTACACGGTGTACAGTGTCACACATTTCAGTGGCATTTAAATAATTTGTTAATTGGTTCAAATGGCTCTTTAATACAAATACAACATTTGTAAGATTAATGTTTATATTCATCCATCAGATTAGTTGACTAGTTGTCTTCTATTCTCGAGTTTAATCAACTAGGAAATCAGTTGCAAGCTGCAGTGCATGTATGAAAACGGCTCCAGTGTGACACAGAAATAACTTAATAAAATGTACTGGGAGAGCTGGTAGGGTTACCTGTGATTGAAGAGGTATTAAAGTTTTGGTGAAATCCTGGACCAGCAACTATGTTAAAACCAACTAATGTTAACTAATCTGGGCATCAACAAATAACTTGACTAAAGGTTTATGCCAGCCTAATATAATGTAAGACAGACACTGATGTAGATAATTGTCCTTGTGTTTGCTGATATCAGCTGATACTGATCTGTGCATTCGTCCTTATGATGTGGGGAAAGTGGGTGTGAAAAACAGCTATAACACTGGCACCTCTCACCCTTTAGATGTTAGAGTTAAGGGAATGATTAAGCGTGATTTAATAGCTGTCAATACGATATCAGCTTTTTTATCAGTAGAGGTTAGCAGTATTGTTGTGGCATTTATGTTTTGTATTATTATTTTGTTTCTTTAACCTCAGCTGTTTAAAAATCTGGTGAAACATGAAAGTTACTTGTATGAAACCTAAAATTTGAGATATTAAGGTAGATTACATCTTCAAATGTTCTGAAGGTAATGTGGGAGTTTGCCAGTTGAAATTTAAGTGAAAATTTGGGCATTTTAATTGATTTTTTTTTTTTCTTTTTTCTTTTTAAGAATTCTTAAAGTAGTAATTTATGTTTTGTGAATTCCCAAAAATCCCAGTGAAAGGTGTAATCATTTTTAAAATAGAAGTCGAAGTGTAAAGTGACTTTCTAATAACTTTATATTTCAGTTCTCTGAGATATGTCTATTTTTCTTGCTCGAAATTGCAATTAAATAACATTTGCAGTCAAAGCGCTTTGTATGAGTTTTATTTTGAAATTTCTACAGTTGCACTACTTCCATTTCCTGAATGAATGGGGCTAACACAGAGGCAAGTTCTCTGCGCTTGTAGCGAACAGTTTTTATCCTCAGAGGGAAAATGTCAGAAAACTTGGTGTTTTATTCAGAAACAAAGTGTATCATGGAGACTGTTATCCGGGTCGCTGTCGATGTTATTGGAAATTCCAAAGTAGAAAATGACGCAGAGGAACAGACTATGAACCGTAAGGTAAGTCAGCGGTTAGTTTATTATCAACGCACACCAGATACGCTAAAAACGCCAGAGACGCTGTGCTCGGGTGAGAGTGGACGGATGGAGTAAAATCACGAAGGGCAACGACGCCAAGCAAAACAAAGATGGCGGACGTTCGTCAAGCTGAAGCTAGCTAAAAAAAAAAAGCCCTCAAAGTTGTTTTTGTTTTGTTTTGTTTTTTTTTAAATAAAGTGAATGTTATCGTAAGATTACAGGAGCCGGATTATAGTACTAGGTTTAAATCTTTGCGTTTACTTTGTTCAAATATTTCCAGGGCTGCGCAGTTAGCTTTAACTTCCGGCAGTTTTTAAAACAAGATTGTAGTGATTAAACAGTGATGTGCTGCGATAATTCTCGCTTTTCTTTCAAGATTTACTTATCACGCAGTCAGGGATAAGTAGTGAAGTAATTGTGATTATGGTTTTTATCATAACGCTTCATACAAGCTCTACTGATGTTGTGTTTACACTGATAACATGTGCTTTGGTTTAGTTCCTAAATAAACTTTGTTTCCTCTGTTTTAATCCTCACAGCTGGATTTTGACAGCACTCTGGAGATGTTAGCATGTGAGGCAACAAGAAAGATCAGCACCGTTTTCTCCCAGGTGTCTTTGCTGCTGCTCGCTGAAAACAGGACTCTGAAGGCCAAAGTGGGACAGCTGGAGAGTGAGCTAAAGACCGTGACTGAAAGCTTTGAAAATGCCAGAGTGTGGAGAGAGAACGTCCTGAATGGCTGCCCAGTCCTGTTTAAGCAGAGCGGGCAGGTCTTTACCCTGAAGCCACTGGGGAAGTTAAACATAAGGACAGATAAAGTAGCAGAGGGAGGCAGTGGTTCTTCACCAGCTCCTGCTGGAATTCAAAGAGTCGGTCATATATGTCCTCCTGCTTCTGCAGCTCCTCCAGGGGTGCAGGGTTTCACAGGACCACCACCTCCTGCTGCTGCTGCACGAGTGCAAAGAGTCAACCAGACATCTGATGCTGCTGTGCAGAGCGTCTCCACATCATCTCCTGCTGCTGAAGTGGATGGTGGACACGATGCTGGTAAGTTTCCATGAAAGGTCCCAGATGATGAAAATATGGGTTATTTCTTTTTTTCAGTGGTACATCCCATATTGCTCTTCAGACTCACCCTGCATGCTGCAGGTGTCTCTCCTAGAAACACAGAGCGGTTTTCAGCCTGCAGCAAGGGTCATAAAAAATCTCCCAAATTTAAATATCCTAGCAAAGTAAGTTGGGACATTATCTCCAATCAGATAGCTTTTATTTTTTATATTTGTTTGTTATTTTGTAGCTTTGTCACTGTGTGACACAGACCAGTGGTGGATTGGAGCTTTGCCTTTAACTTGCTGAACAGGTGCGTTGATAAAGTAGTCTTATTGATGTTGATTACAGTAACAAGTGCTGCTGCTGTCCTTTCAATAAAAGGCTTCACTGTCTCATCACAGCTTTAAGTGGTCCTGAATGCTTTTCCCAGTATACACACATCTATTTTAGTCACAAATCCCTGTGAAATGCTTGCACTGTGGAGTCCTGCACCATTGCCGCAGACTTCCTGCTTTCCACTGCACCAAGAAAAGCCTTGTTATTTTATTTTGAAAACATGGTAGTGAAGCAAGAAAGAAATTGCCTGCTAATAGACAGTTTGTTTCACAGTTGACATTCTGAAAGCTGATCGGTGGATACATTTGTTGATGAGATACATTGAGCCGCCTGTTGTGTCAAATCCTGGTTCAAGGTGTAAATACGAGCCCTGAAAATCTTACAACTCTCGTCAGCTGCCAGCTAGACGGGCTTCCTGCACAAATTCAGTTTGAAAGGAAAACAAATTTTCAACCTGCAGCTGATTTCAGCCATGGTTAATCTGTCTTTGTTTTCATTCTGTATAGATTCTTCAGGTTCAGAAGGTGGAGAGGCGATGGAGGAGCTGATGGAAGCAGTTTCTTTACCAGGCAATGGACCGGGTGAGAACTTAAATGGTTAATATAGAAATTATTTTCAGTAAAACAAACTAACAAAGACTCCGATAATGTGTGATTTCAGATTTTAAATTAGAAAATAACCAGAAACATGACAAATTGGTCGTGGGTGAGCGTTCACACTAAGAGCAGTTCAGATCAGATCTTCAGACATCCCCTGTGCTGAGTATAAAAAGGTCCAGCGTACCCTGCATGGGACCTGTTTACTGTGGTCCTACCCACGAGCCTTTGTGGGGTAGAGGGGTCTGGTAGCCCATGGGGCCGACAGGAAGGGTTGTAGGGTCTGGTGATTTGTGGATTGGGTGGAGGTGGAGGTTATGGCTCTCTGATCCCTGGCTTCCAAAATCACCTTGTGGCACCTGGAACATCAACTCCTGAGCAAAGGAGCATGTGCATGATGTCAGGAGATACTGACAGGATATCGTTGGGCTTATCTACCACCCAGATAGGTGGTAGAAGATGGTTAGATGGCTGGATGGATGACTTGTAATGCTGTGGGGCTGGGCATCCTAACCTTAGACAGCATTAAATTAGCCTTTGGGTCTTAAAAGTAAAGCCAGTGTGCAAGCTGCTAAAACTTAGTCTTAATGGGAAAACTTGGGTTTCCCGCTCTGTGACATCTGTAAAGACTTTAGTGAAGTCCTCGTTTATGAGCTTCAGGTGGTCAGAAAATGAAGGTAACTTTGTAAATTATTCTCATTATTAAAGTCAGACGGGAGGCCTAAGGAGCTTGGAAAGAAAAGCGTCTCCACCATTTGACCCTAGAACTGAAGAAGCTTCTCGGATGAGAGGTGAAACGTCTTCAAGCAACTTAAAGAAGTCCAGACGCTTTTCTTTCCAAGCTCCTTAGACTACGATGACCTGGATGACTGAGAACCTTCACAGACATATTGCCGTCAGACAGGAGGATTATACAGAGTCTGCTCATTAGCTAACAAATCAATCACGAATGTTTGGCCGTGATGATTTCACAGTAAGAAGTGATGATAAATGAGCTTCTTCTCCTGCATCATATGTGTGAACTTCGATCTTTCCTTTTGTTTAGACGCCACAGCAGATTGTACCTGCGCGGACTCAGCGGAGCCCAAATACACCGAGAGCCAAAAGCGTCTGGAAGCAGAGGTTTTGAAGAAAGGCAGAGTGTTTGTGTGTGACATCTGTAACAAGACTTTTAACCGACTCTTCCACCTGATGAAGCACATGAACATCCACAAAGAGCAGCGGCCTTTTACCTGCGACCAGTGCCCGAGAAAGTTCAGGAACGCAGCGACTTTTGAGTACCACCTGCTGCGACACGAAGAGAAGAAGTATGCCAGCTACGAGTGCGAGCTCTGCCAGAAGAAGTTCAAAACAAAAATGGGGCTGAAGACGCATCAGGTGGTGCACACGGATGAAAGGCCGTTCGCCTGCTCCACCTGCGGGAAGGGCTTCAAGACCAAATACAGCCTAAAGTCCCACCAGCTCGTGCACACGGCTGAGAAGCCGCACAAATGCTCCGAGTGTGGAGAGAGCTTCAAATACGCCTTCACCCTTCAGTGTCACAGAAGCATCCACACTGGAGAGCACCCGTACAAATGCACGGTGTGCGGCAAGGTTTTTATAAAGAGACGATCGCTCAGGACGCACCAGGCGGTCCACAGAGGGAAGATGTTTACCTGTGAGACGTGCGGTGCTGGCTTCACCCTGCCTCAGAACCTGAAGAGACACATGCACATCCACACGGGCGAGAGGCCGTTCAAATGTAAGGTGTGCGGGAAGGGTTTCATTCAGGCCAACAAGCTGAAAGCACACATGCTCCTTCACGGCGCTTCAAAGCCGTACATGTGCGACCTGTGTGGGAAGACGTTTCTGTACAACTGCCACCTGAGGAGACACCAGAGCGTAACTCATGACGAGAAGCACGGGCAGGTCATGAGGAGACGGGAGCGGGAGCAGGGCAGGCGCAGAGTAATCTACCGGCAGGACAGGACGATAGTGGACGTGACGCCGTTCAGCTGCGGCACCTGTCACAAGGGCTTCGACACTGCGTGTTCCCTGAAGAAACACGAGCTCATTCACACGGGTCACATGCAGTACCGCTGCGACCCGTGCGGGAAGTCTTTCTTCTACAAAGCCACCTATGACTACCACCAGCGGGTCCACTCGGGAGAGAAGCCCTTCGGGTGTGACGTGTGCGGGAAGAGGTTCATCATCCGTCAGGCGCTCAAGATCCATAAGCTGCAGCACTCTGGAGAAAAGCCGCACAAATGCGAGCAATGCGGCAAGGCCTTCCGCATGTACACGAACTACCAGAGACATCAGCTGATCCACACCGGAGAGAAGCCGTATGAGTGCGAGGTCTGCGGCGTGAGGTTCAGGCAGCTCGGGCACGTCAAGTTTCACATGCAGACCCACACGGGGGAAAGACCGTACTCCTGCAGCAGCTGTGGACTTGGATTCTCAGACTCAAGGCTCCTGAAGAAACACAACTGCAGCGAGAAATTCCAGAAAATTTTGGGGGACGCACTCACAGCGTCCTGATGGCGTCGACTCGAGCAAACCAGTCATTGTCCACAGAGCCAGATGAGTGATGCATTCTGGGAGCGTTGCTCAAGGCTGGGCCATTATTCAGATTTGTATTTTCTTCCATTTTGCCTTCCAGTGATTGTGATATAGTTGGCAGTCTTTTTGTATTTATACATTATATATTTATATTTTCACCTGGTTTAAAGTCTGTTTTCCTACAGTATTGAATAAAATGGTCAAGACAACAAAAATCTCTCAATTGACTTTTTTTTTAAATTTTGAAATTAAAAACAGTGTGATCAGAAGCACATACCACCGCCTCTTACCCGTGTTTGCTTAATATAGCTTGATAACATGGAATTATATAAATGTTTACAACTCTGTTAACTTCAGACTGTGAATACTCTGACTGTTAAAGGGTAATTTTAACGTTTTAACGTCTCTGCTGATCGTGGAATTGTAAGTGTTGTAGTTACTCACTTTGACCACTGGAGGGAGGTTCAACGTAAACTCGATGCTATACCGTTTCCGTTAGGGCTTTTCGCAATAGAATCAAACATGGTATACGGTATATTGAACAAATAGGATGGATACATTTTTGTTACTTTTTTTTTTTATCCAAATAACACAATTCAAACAAACAAAATTAGTGTGGCACGTTTCTTGCAAGTTAATGCAGTTAAAGCTGACAATATAAGATAAATGATATACAGTCATTAGCATTTAAACTGAAAAGACAAATTAGAAACGTGTGATTTTATTCTGAAAAGTATGAACTAGGAAACAGTACTTGGCTTCGTGTTGTGAATGATCGGCATGAGTTTTTTTTCACCATAACAACAACAGTGCGGCAGCGCAGAAGTTTTATGACGCATTTGTAGATGCGAAATAAACATCACAATCAGTCAGCATGGCGGACCTGGAGCCGCAGGTTTGCGCCATTTTGGAGATAATGGTGAACGCGGCGGTGTCAGAGATGAACAAAGTTATCGGCGCCTCGGATCCTCCGCGTCCACAAGAGACATCGTGTGTGGCCGAAGACACGCACGGGTCCCCGGAGGATAAGGTACAGGATAAGGTACAAGGTGGTTTACGGTCGTCAGGTATCCGGGCCGGTTCTGGTCCCCGCATTGGTCCCGGTTTCTCCCGAGCCGACGCTTCCTCCAACTGTCGTCCAGACAACCGGCCGAGCATAGAAATAGAAGAGCTAGCAGTTAGCTCCGGTTAGCTGCGAAATGGCAGCAGGGTGCCGCGCTGTCCTGCTGTATGGAGCATGTGTTTAGGCTAAACTTCGCGTAAATATGAGGGGCTGGTGCACGAAGTCTGGGAGAATCCACCTCTGGGCGCCATTTTGGGTTGGGCAGCAGGCCCGGGCTTATCTATCTAGTGTATGTCTAGAAGCGCCTCAGCTACAGGTTTCCACAGAGCGCAGGATCGATCTATCAGCTGATATCTGATCAATAACACACTCTTCTGTGATCATAATGACTGCCACATAGTGTTACCCTGTTGTGCGGTTTTGGGGTTTTCCTTGTATACTTGTGATCCCGGGATCTGATTGGCTGATCAATATATCACATCAGTGTTAGACCTGCTTTTTCAGGTCAGGACAGGAAAAGTTTTACCATCTTGCAGCGTGACAAAGTGCAATGTCCTCTTCACTTCATTACATTACTGAACAACGCTGTCTCAGATTTTCTGATTATCTTTCAACTTGGAATATTTAATATACCTTCCAGAATGAGTTTAAATCAGGTTCATTATTTGACAGTGGCCTGTGTTCTTCCCATCAGGTGATCCAGTTGAGCGTCTTCATGTCGTCTCTGGCTCAAGAAGCTGTGGAGAAGATCTGCCAGCTCTTCCATGAATGTTCCTCTGTGCTGCGGCTAGAAGTACACGACCTTTGTGCTTTATTAATTCATCCACCCACTAACAGTCCAGCAAGAAATCCTAAAGTAGTCCTTGTTTTGTAGGTGACGCAGGGTGTGGCAGAGATCGAGGACCTGAAGAGGAGACTGGAGGTCGCGGAGACGGCGTTGAAGCTGGCGCTCGAGGGCAGCGGACGTCAGAAGGACGTGGAGGAGCTGACGGAGGGAGGCAGCGGGCAAAAGGAGGGGAGGGTGGACGTTGAGGTTGTTCAGCTTGAGCAACGCTCAGGGAGGAAGAGTCGCAGAAGTGAGGAGTTCTTCCTTTTAAACACATTAGTTAGCTTTTGTATTCCACAAGTTTTTAGAGAAAAATATTTTAAATCAAACTGCATCAAGTCAAAATCAGCTGTGGTGTTGTTTTAAAACTCAAATTTCATGACTGAAAGGAAAATATTTTTAACCTTTTCCCCCTGATGTCATTTCTCTTGCCGTCTCCACTCTGTCCCTGTTGTATTTGACGAAGCAGAGGTGACCACAAACCGGTTCTGATGTTTGTCTTTTGTTCTGTGTAGGTGTGGTTAGCAGGGACGCCGGAGTGAAGAGATCGCCCATAATTCATCTGTGGAAAGGCAGAACATATGATGTAAAGTCTTGCGTTGTCCCGCCTCTTCTTCCCATTTCTGTTTCTCATCTTCGCATCACTTGAACATGTTTATTCACTGTTTCCAAATTGCATAGATTAGTCAGAAAATCTGACCAACTTAAAAATAAAGCAGAGCTGAACATCCTGTGTGGAGGGATCCTGCCAACCTAAATTTGTCCTCATCCTTTCTTCTGGTCAGGACAGCATCCAGCCTGTTATAATAAAAGAAGAAGGGTTTGAGTGCTCAGCCGACCGGATGTCGTCTGACTCTGGTCAGTACAGAGATGAGTTTTGGCAGGATGAGGACGACCCTGACTACCAGGTTGGCTTCATTAATATGTTTTTATATTAACTTGTTTCTTTTTTCACCTTGCAGCTATATTATTTCATTGCATGTGCTTTTAAAAATAACTTTTATATATGCTTTTAGATACAAGTTTTTATTTTGTTGTACTGTATTAAGAGATAAGTCCAATTTAATGTCAGCTGATGAACATTTTAGACAGAGTTGGGTTTTTTGGCATATTTCTTCACTTATACTAACACCCTTTTATTTAAATAAGAATTTATGATACCCAGAAACCTTTCAAGCACTGGAAACAATTAGTTTATTCACTGCAATATTCATCGCCCATAAAATTAAATGAGCTAAGGTAACATTTGATGAGCTAAACCTGACAATCAACAACGTTTAAACGAATAAACATTTAATCATCCCTTTTCTTCTCTGGCAGGCGGAACCAGACGATCCAGATGATGCTGACCCAGGATACACCACCAGATCCAAGCGTGTTGCAAAGGGAAAGTCCCACCAAGCTCAAGCAAAGAAGGAGAGTCAGAAGGAGCAGCCTCTGAGCTGCAAACACTGCCGGAAAACCTTCACCAAGCTGCTGCAGCTCAAAGCCCACCAGGCCGTCCACGGGGCGAGCGCGGAAAAGCCCTTCCAGTGTTCTCAGTGTGGCCGAGGCTTTGCGTTCCAGCGAAGCCTCAGTGCTCACATGTTACTGCACACAGGTGAGCTCCAGCTTTATCCTTCATACTAAAGCAGGCACAGTCTGTACGATGTACCCGTGCACACCGTGAAGGCAGGTTTGTTGATGAACTTGGAGCAGGAAGAATCCACAAGCTGACTGACGTCCATCACTAACACACTCTTATTTCTTGGTGAAATTATGTATTGGTAAAGTTAAGTTAAACTAATATTGGCTAGTTTACAAAATCAAGAAAATCTTAGGGAGACAACAAGACAGCCGACATTTAACTGGAGTTGCTAGGCTAGACAGCTAATTTAAATCAGTCTGTTGATTTTTGTGGACTCCCAGAAATGTTTGGTCATGCCTCATGTAAAGCACGTGACTGTTTTTGGAAAATTGTTTCTTTACACTGATGAGAATAATGAGACTTATTCGGTTAATCTGCTTAAATTACATCAGAATTTACTCATCGTTGTTTGTTGGTGAGCGTGTTTTTGCTTTTCTGCATACAGGTGAGAGGCCACACACCTGTGATGTTTGTGGGAAAGGTTTCACCCTGAAGCAGCTCCTGAGAAACCATCAGCGTCTCCACGCTGACGTGCGGCCATATCGCTGCGAGCAGTGCGGTAAGAGCTTTTACCGGGCGCACGGCCTGAAGATGCACCAGATGGTCCACACTGGGGAGCGTGCCTATAACTGCCAGTACTGCAACAAACGTTTCACAATACAAGGAAACCTGCAGCGCCACCTGCGCATACACACGGGCGAAAAGCCGTTCAGGTGCGAGACTTGCGGCAAAAGCTTCAACCAGGCCGACACTCTGAAAGGCCACCAGCGGATTCACACCGGCGAGCGCCCCTTCAGCTGCGACACCTGCGGCAAGCGCTTCATCCAGAAGAGCGCGCTGAAGATGCACCAGAAGACCTCTCACGTGGACGAGAAGTCGCTCGCCTGCGTCGCGTGCGGCACCACGGTGGCCTGCGTCGACTCGCTGCGCAAACACCTCCAGATGCACGCGGCGACTATTCCGTGCACCTGCGTGCTCTGCGGCCAGCGGCTCAGCTCCATCACCGAACTGCGCTCGCACCAGCAGCATCACACGGTGGACCGGCCTCACAGCTGCGGGCTCTGCGGCAAGAGTTTCAAGTCGTCCAGTTACCTGAAGATTCACCTGAAAACGCACAGCGGGGAGAAGCCGTTCTCCTGCGACATCTGCGGTCGCATGTTTACACAGCAAAGCAGCCTTAAGTCCCATCAGGTGGGTTTTTGCTGCTTGTTGCACAAGGTGAAACTCATTCATGCAAATAAGTCCTCAACATTAGGACGGACACCTTAGCAATCTGTCAGCGTGTCTGAAACCCAGACTCCAGCCCTTTAAGCTGCAAAGAGTGTTCAGATAGAGAGTAGTGCTTGATGATTTTGGCTTCCAGCTGTTATAAAAACTCTGTGATCAGGATATAGTGATTACTTTTTTGCATTAATTTTTGCAAAAAAAAATCTGCTCTCCAAGCAGAGCTATCATTAACAGCTGCTTTTAAACATCTCTGATATGGTCTGATTTCGGCACAGCAGATCCAAGGCACTAGTTAACTAACGGCTTTCCATGACTCGTCGTAGCTAACGTGCCAGTCTCCTGAGGTGCAGGTTTGCTGCTTCCGTTATTGTGTGGTATCTCAGGCTGGCAGGGACCAGTGGTTGCCCCTTGCGAGATGGGTTCTGTGGATGAAAACAACCACTCTTCTGGGTCTAAGTCCCCACCAGACAACTTCACCCGCGCCAACCTTATTTTTCCCTTCTCCCTTTGCTTTTCAGAGTTCATTAAATGTGCATTTGCTGTTAAATAATTGAGATTGCAGTAGTTATAAGTATAATTGGGATTATGGTTTGTCCCATACTTGAGCCGAGGGTGAACTGCAGCTGCATCAGAATAATGAAGCTCATTATTCATTAGTTATGATGGAGATAAAAAATAACTCTTTGCTTTGTGGTCCAGTAATCAAGGTGTGGTTAGAGGCCCAGATTGAAATGCTACACCCTGAGTAACCCCGTAAAGTGACAGATGATTGTTAGAATTAAGCAATACCAACCTGGTCTGAGATTAACTTCATGTGTATGTTTATGAGTACACTTTGTGTAGATGTGTTGCAGTTCCACCTTCTGCAGCAGCTGTAGCTGAACACGTCTGCTGCAGTGGAAAGAACCTTGTGGGTAATTTAGTAAAGATTTAAACATGTTGTTTCAATGTTCTCTGCCAAAGGTGGTCCACACAGGAGAGAAACCTTTCAGCTGCGACACCTGCGGGAAATGCTTTAGCAACACCGGCAACTTGAACCGACACCAGCGCATCCACACGGGGGAGAAGCCGTTCAGCTGTGACACGTGTGGGCGGAGCTTCAACCAGGGCAACAGCCTGAAGGCGCACCAGCAGATTCACACCGGGGAGAAGCAGTTCATGTGCGACAAGTGCGGCAAGAGTTTCTCCTACCTGAGGAACCTGAAAGACCACAAGTGCTTCTATGTCTGAAGCTAATCTGTGAGGCGATGTCAGCTCCTGTAATCTGCAGTCAGGTTAGCTGGGACCGAGTTAACACTGAAAGCGATTTTGGTGATTGTAAAGCTGGCTTTCCCAGATTTCTTCTGTCACTGCCAAGAAAGTGATGCAGGTAGATACGGCGTGGAATTTGTAATGGTGGAAAAACAATGTGAAGAGTGTTACAGCATCTGTCTGTGAGAATAGCTGACAAATTGCATTTCCAACGTTAAAACTGAACGGACAGAGAGAGTTTTAGCTCCTGATGTGAGTGCATTTATCACTGAACTAAGAAAAGCCTGGGTCAAAATGATCTTCAGCTTCTTGCCTTTTGTCAGCGTGATGTAACTGAAAAGCCAAAAGCAGATTTTTACCACCACAGTTGGTATTAACGAGCCACAGAAACAGCTGATCCTTATTAAAGACGAGGCATTTTGCAGCATTTTGCCCTTTGGTAATGATTTCTTGTTATCGCGACTCACTCGCAGATGGACGGGCCAGATGCTTCAGCTCAGTGTAACATTTAAAGCTCTTTGCCAGGGAGACTGAAGTTTGGCTTTTCTTACCTAGCGAACACATTTTGTATTGAAACGTGAGTGAATTTGTACCAACTCACCGATAGTGCTCGCGATGAGGATGGGCTGTGTTTACATTGCATCACGTGCAGCACCACCACAGCTCCTTTTCACACGTGTGAAAGCAAGCAAGTTTCACTATGCATGAGCAACACGTGCTCGTGCTTTCAGAGGTAGCATGAACGGTTTTACTTTCCACAGTTACAGTTCTGTCGAAATAGGATCGCAAGTCATTGATATTTGGCGCTGTGGCTCTGTTTGAGGTCTTCCCGTCCTTCCGCACATATACATGGAAAGCCTAAAGGCATTCAGTTTGACTCTGTGGCCTGTTAGAAAAAATTCTGTGCTCGGTATAGCGGTAATCTGTGGGCAGCTGTTACATTATATTCGTCATCTGGGCTGTATAATGTGTAAAAATGGGACGTCTGATCTCGTTGTGCGGCTGATATTTATAACGGTGCAACTCAAAGAGTGCTTTTCTGTCTTTTTCTCTTTTAACATCATCTCACATGATGACCGTTACTACGTAAATGCCTTGTATGCATACAAAGAACCGGTGTGCTGAGAACATAACAGACTGAAAGTATTATTTTGTGAAAATACTTTATTTGTAACTTCTCTTGTGGAGATGATATTCACTCAACCTTGTAACTGAGTTCAATTCATAAAACAGTGAAATGTAAACATGCTTCCTTTTTGTCTTTCTTAATGATTAAAGAGCTTGAAATATGTTTGTTTTTGATCAGAAAAAACTGTTTTACAGGAACACATGCGTTGCCTTCACATCCTTACTGAAAGAGGTATTCAATTTAAAGTTTCTGTTGCCTTTGAACAAGAATACTTTCAAGTCAAGTGCGGAAATGCAAAGAAAATAATTATATATAATAATTTTCAGAAGAAATGTTTCTTAAACCAAAACAGATCTGAGATCAATTCAAAACTGTTTCTCTTAGTCTTAAGTCATATTAATTAATAATCCCCCACTGATCCAGTTTAACTGTTCATGAATAGATTTGTGTGTAGCTGATGTGGTATCCCACAAATAATTACAATATTTAGTAATTTAAGCCGATGTTCACGTTGCTCTGCTGGGCCTTACTATAACTGTGCTGTCATCTAATCTGTTCATGAATAGATTTAATTTTTTTTTTTTTACTGTCTATCCTGGCAGGACGTCACAGAGCAATGAGACTTAGAAGAAAGCTGCAAACTGCACCATCCTCAAGATGTTTGGCTTTGTTGTTGTTATGTTCACCTCTTTGCCAAGAGGTGGCGCTACAAACTAATATTATAGTCCAGATAAATCTATGGAGCTCCTTGGATGGCACTCATTTCTCCTCAGTGTTGCAGAGTAGGTCCAAAGTTCCTTTTCAGTTCTCTTTCGCCTTTTTGAGGGGAACTTTATTTTCAGTTATTTTCCTAAATGAGTGAAGAGGTGTCTTTCTGTTTAATTCTTCCTTACGTTTCCAGCATTTCATCTCTAGCTTTTAGGTTTAATTGCAAACAAAGACTACACAACACATTTGAACTGTTTAACCCTCTGGGAAAGCAGAAAGCGGGCTTCATTAGCTACATCATCAGGGTTTGTTTGGGGTTTTTCACAGACAAGAACATTCAGTCTGTCGTGACTGCTTGTTAAAAACTGCTCTTTCTGTGAATTTACTGAGAAAGACCAGTGTTGTTCCCTGGTGGCTGCTTTTCATTGTTTCATTGGTACCTCCTTTTAAATCCATGTAAATGACGTCAGTGTGCACATTTAGCAGCTGGCTATGAGCTCCGTGCTGCACCGACTGCCTGAGCAGCCACAGGGCTGTACAGTAGGTCAGACTGGCTGTAATCCCTTCCAGATTACAGTCCAGGGTATCGTGGGAGGAAGTGTGGGGGATTGGCAGAGAAACAACTTGTTACAGCTGGCTTCCTACCAAAGAGGAGATAAGGAGAGTCTGTTTGTTTTGCTTCTCATGTTTGGGTTCTTCTTCTTTTTTTTGAACGCCTTCAGGTTTAGGAAAATATTTTATTCAGTAATGTTTATACGCTGATTTAAAGAAGGCTGAATATTTTTCATATCACACATGGGAGAAATCACACCTCCCAGTTTCACAGTTTTTAAAATATTGATTTTTGATCATTTGTTAATATTCTCTTTTTGTACAGTCTGTCAATACACCTCAGGAACAAATATTTATATTATAATATACACCTTATATAATACATGTTATTACATGATATACATTTTATATGTTACAATGTGGATTTTAGGGGTTCTTTTAAAACAATAATCAAATTTAGTGAAACAGTTTTCACTAATTTAAAAGTGTATGTTTGTACTTAGTATAAATGAGTCTTAGGTTTGCAGAAAGAACTCCACACTGTTTTGCCTTAAAGTTCAAAGAGATAATTTGGACTTGATTGATTGATTGATTGATTTTTAATCTTAGAAAAGTCCTGACTATGATGTTTGCAGATCACATTTTAGTGAGAGTAGGGAGCAGGTGGAAGAGAGTTTGGGGAGGTGGAGGTATGCTCTGAAGGGAGGAGAAATGAAAGTCTGTAGAAGCAGGACAGAATACATGTGTGACTGAGAAGAAGTTGGAGATGCAAGGAGCACAGATAGTGTAGAAAGTTAAAGGAGTTTAAATACCTGGAGTCAACCAACAAAGCAATGAGCAATGCACAAGACAGGTGATCAAGTGGGTGGAGACGAGTGTCAGGGGTGATTTGTGACAGAAGGATAGCAGCAAGAGTGAAGGAGATGATGGTAATGAGACCTGCTATGATGTGTGATTTGGAGACAAAAAAACAGGAGGTCGAGCTGCAGATGAAAATGCTAATGTTTTATTGGGAGTGAACAGGACGGGATTAGAAATGAGTACATCAGAGGGACAGCTCAGGCTGAGAGGCTGGAGACAAGGTTAGAGAGGTGAGGCTGAAATGGTTTTGACATGTGCAGAGGAAGGTTGGAGATTTATGGGACAAAAGGATGTTGAAGATGGAGCTGCATCGCAGGAGGAAAAGAGGAAGACCTCAGAGGAGGTTCATAGATAATCCACTGTGACAACCCCTAAAGCAGGGGTGGGCAATTCCAGGCCTCGAGGGCCGGTGTCCTGCAGGTTTTAGATCTCACCTTGGGTCAACACACCTGAATCACATGATTAGTTCGTTATCGGGCCTCTGGAGAACTTCAGGACATGTTGAGGAGCTAATTTAGCCATTTAAATCAGCTGTGTTGGTTCAAAAATTCCTAAAACCTGCAGGGACACCAGACCCTCGAGGCCTGGAGTTGCCCACCCCTGCCCTAAAGGAAGCAGCCGAAAGAAGAAAAAGAAGAAGCACATAAATCTTCACCTGCAGAAGGAATTCCTGCAAAGTGCTCCTCAAAGGATATCGTACCATGATGATATAAACATGAGAAATTTCACCTTTAACCTTTGGGATCAAAAAGAAGCCTGTATGACTGCAGAACTGTGCTTCTATCTTGTCCTTCTGTCTTTTTTCTTGCTTTAGACCCTAGACTCCAAATCTTGGGGGTTATCTACTGGTTTTTGGATTAAGATAAGAAGTAGGTTAAAGACTGAGAAACAATTGGGTTATGAGTGATGTTGTGATAGTTCTGATGCCCTCGGGGCGAGCATGAGTCCCCGCCTGTATTGATCCCTGCTGACGCGCTCAGAGCAGCACAAATCACTAGCTGTTATCCACACACACAAACAAGCCCATCACGCCACACAGAAACACATTCACACACCACCACCGCCACCTTTTCCGTAGCCCATTAGATATATCGACAATTCCACATTCACTTTTGTTTTTGTCTTTTTTTTTTTGCTCTAATAGGTTTATGCACAGCTGACCGAGCAGTAACACTAATGCTGCCGGTATACTCTGTGACATTGCGTTGAGTACAGGCTCTCCATGGAAATACGGACTGCTGCTCTGGTTGTTCTTTCCAGCATCGATTCGCGTGCAGTTGCAGCAGCAGCTCTGCCTCTGTTCTCCGAGGGATGCCAGTGAATGTGCCTGTGTGCTGCTCACCTTTCCCTTACAGTATCAGGCCCTCAGTCTGCAGGGGCTCAGGTCACTGAAGCGCTCAGTCTCAACCAGGAAGGAGCAGTGCTGAGGAAGGATGAGGCCCTGGGTTCGCTCCAACAGGTCCAGATCAGTCCAGGTAAGGTTTGTGCTTCTAATTCAAAATGTAAACACGTGACACCTTGGGAGATAAAGATAGTCTTAACTGTCTTAAATTAGAGTAATAACTAATGTAGTTTAATGGAGTGTTCAAAAGAATGACAAATTACACTACAAGCTTTAGTCAGCGCTGCTATTAGACTATTCAGAAAACTCCTGATTAAAGTGTACAAACATCAGCAAAAAAATAAAATCAAAATAGAAAAATAATACTCTGTCCAATCCCATCCACACCCTCTACAACACAAAGGTCATAGTAAAGATTAAAGTGTTAAAGGAGAGAAAAGAGTACTCCTTTAAACGGCTTTACCAAAAACTGAACTTTACAACCTTCATGAATGCAGGCTTTGCTGCAGGACTTAGTCTGCATTAGCTTTAGAAAAAAAGGTGTTTGGGCTCTTTCTGTGAACACACTGCAGCAATAAATCTGCTTAGCAAAAACAAACAGCAGTAACCGGCTTTAAACTGCACACATCCCCCTCCTGGGCAGATGAGCTCATTAAATCCTGAATTATATTGTTTGGTGCATATATCTGTTTTCATATTTAATTTGCAAGCTTCCATAAAAGTGTCGGGTTTGAATTCTGCTGCAGATGCCTCTCTTTGCAAATCTTTCCTCATTATAACTGCGGCGGTAGAGACGATTCACAGTGGAGGTAAAGACGCTTTGATTGAATCAGCA